TTCATTTTAACTATTTATGCAGTTTTCCCAGATCTTGAGCATTGTTTGCTCTCAGCGTGACCTTCTGCCCTTCAATTTTAGATGTGCTTCAGAAGCCAAATGAAACCCCTGCATGGGGACTGGAAGATTCTCTGTACCCCTCAAGCCAGGTGAGCTTAGAGCTGGGGGCAGCAGCTCGAGGGGACCTGCTGCTCTATGAGGCCTCTGGGAGTTATGGGGAAGCTGCAGTCCCCAGTTACTCTAAGGGAGCCCATGCTCTAAAAAGAGAAGCAGATAATGTATTTTCAAAACACAAGTCATACCTCTTGTGTGGCAGTGAAAAGAGAAGGGCTAAGAGAAGCGCTTTCCTAGTTGGGCAGGCTACAGACTCTGTGGGACTCAGTGCAAAAAGAAAATGCCCGCCTCTTGGTCAAAAAACAGGAATAAAGTTCTGTTAAAGGTACATGTAAAGCCAGACACAGAAGGTCAAATAGTGGGCGCCTGGGTGGCTCAGGGGTTAAGCATCTGCCTTCAGCTCAGGTCATGATCTTGGAATCCTGAGATCCAATTCCACATCGGGCTCCCTGCTCACCAGTGAGTCTGCTTCTCCCTCTGGCCAACGCCCCCCACCTCTTCCCGCTCATGCTGGAGTGCTCTTACTCTCTCACACAAAAATAAGTAAAATCTTAAAAAAAAAGAAAAAAAAGAAGAAGAAGAAGAAGAAGAAGAAGGACAACTAGTGATTCTACTTATATGAGGTCCTGAGAGTAGTCAAATTTATAGAAAGTGAAAGAAGGGTGGTTGCCAGGGACTGGGAGGATGGGGGAATGGGAGGTACCATTAAATGGGTAGAGTTTCAGTTTGGGAAGATGAAAAAATTCTGGAGTTGAATGGTGGGAATATTTGCACAATGATTTGAAGGTGCTTAATGATACTGAACTGTACACTCAAAAATGGTTAAAATGGCATATTTTATGTTATATATATTTTACAACCCCCCCCCCACATACACACACAGGAATACATGAGTTTTTTTCCTTCTCTCAAGGTCTCGCTCTCGACTTGTCATGAGTTTTTTTAATTTGCTATCTAATATTGTTCTAAGTAAAGAAAAATTAATCTCAAATTTTTGGTGTGAATTTTACCCTTCATCTTTTTATTGCACAATGCTAGTTTTTTTTTAAGATTTTGTTTATGTATTTGGGACACCTGGGTGGCTCAGTTGGTTAAGCCACTGCCTTCGGCTCAGGTCATGATCCCAGGATTCTGGGATCGAGTCCCACATTGGACTCCTTGCTCGGCAGGGAGCCTGCTTCTCTTGTTGCCTCTGCCTGCCACTTTCTTGCCTATGTGTACCCTCTCTCTCTCTGAGAAATAAATGAATAAATAAAATCTTTAAAAAAAAAAGATTTTATTCATGTATTTGACAGAGAGAGGGAGGCAGAAAGCACAAGCAGGCAGAGCGGTAGGCAGAGGGAGAGCAAGAAGCAGACTCCCCGCTGAGCAAGGAGCCTGATGGGGGGCTTGATTCCAGGACCTTGGGATCATGACCGAAGCTAAAGGCAGATGCTCAACCGACTGAGCCACCCAGGCGCCCCAAGTGCAACGCTAGTTTTAAATGAAAATATCAAAGTATTTAACTTGTATTTGAAATCACTGAAATTACACAATTCAAATTTTCTTGCTCCCAGAGGGTACCTCGTGCTGGCTGGAAGAGACAAACTCAAGCCAGGCTTGGGAAAGGTGGAAGGAGGAGGAAGCCAGGATCACCCGGGCACAGAGCCTGTAGAAAGAGTCCTCCAGGGCATGGGACTTCACAGGTGTCTGAGGAGGGTACATCTTGGACCTGACAGCTGCCAGGTCCCCCTCCCATACAGCCCAGGCCTCCCACAGGCCTACCACCTCCCACAGGCCTACCCCTCCAGCCCACAACAAACAGGTTACCCCCAGGTATCTCCAAAATTCGGAACTGAGAAGCACTCAGCACAGGGATGAGCCTCTTGGCTGGGGTCAGCTGCCCACCTCAAGCTCTGTGGTGCCATCACCTTGCCAGCCTCCACAGGGTGCATGCGCCCGACACCGACCTGTCAAAAGCAAGAGGGCACAGTGGCAGGTGCGGAGTGAGGGAGAGAACGGGAGGGCAGGTAGGGGACTGACAGAGAGCCCATGTAGGGTGGACGTGGGGGTTGGCACTGTGTCCTATTGCTCCACGAGACTTCACAGAACACAAACTCCAAGGTAAAACAATTAAGAATTCCAAGATTTGCAACCACAGTGCATTAAATCCCAAGGGCAAAGTCTTGTTCAACTGTACTGGTCACACATCCATGAGCCAGCCACATTCTCAGGGCCAAAGAGAGAGGGGATTTGGCTGGAGTCTTCCTTGTAAGATCTCCTCATCCTCTTTTTTTTTTTTTTTTTTTTTTTTTAAGATTTCATGTATTTGACAGAGAGAGAGAGATCACAAGTAGGCAGAGAGCAGCAGGCAGAGAGAGAGGGGGAAGCAGGCTCCCTACTGAGCAGAGAGCCCAACATGGGGCTCGATCCCAGGACCCTGAGATCATGACCTGAGCCAAAGGCAAAGGCTTAACCCACTGAGCCACCAAAGTGCCCCAGATCTCCTCCTCCTTAAGGAAACCTAAGGGTAGAGTGCTTACAGCAGAGGGGGCTGGGCTCCCTTTTCTCGCTCACCAGCAGACCTCAGCTGTGCCCTGTCCTTTTCACCCTCTCACTCCCTGCTCACTGTTGGGATATGCCAATTGTTGACTGGTCTACAGTCTTACCTGAGCTAGGAAATACTGGACCATAAGTCCCTGAATCCAGTCCATTTCAGCTCTGAGTGCGGGGTTTCCCAAGTTACTTCCGTAGTCCCAGAGCTGCCATGCTTGATGGGTAGCATGGGAGACCCTCCAAAGCTGGTTTGCCCCAGCCAGCCTGGGGGCATAGGGTGGGGTGGGGGTGGGGGCACAGGGCTCCCCTGGCCGTCTGGGCAGCTGCAGCGCTTGAAGCGTTGAGGAAGCCAAGCCTTTCTCTCACTCTATTCCCTGAATTCTTACAACTGCAGACCGTAGGCAGTATCCTTTCTTTTTGTAGTGGCCTCCAGTTGTGTCTGCGAGAGTGGGGGTTTTTCTTGGATGAAGTTTTGCCTTGAGGCCTGTCCAGCTCACGTTGCTGAGTTATGCTCCAAGCAGCTCCATCGGTAAAGTACTCTTGTTTCATCAAGTGTCTTTGGGGAATTTTCAACTTCGGAGGCCTCCTCTCTGCATCCTACACTGGGAAGAAACCGCACACCGGCTTTACTAGCAACTCTCTGCACATCAGCTGGAGTCTTCCCTTGGGGGAAATGTGCCCCTTCCTTAGGCGCCCGAGGTCCTGTTCCCAGGCAGGCAGCCAGGCAGCCAGGCAGGGGACACACCGGCAGCCTCCCTCTGCCCTCTTCTCTGGTGCCGGTAGGAAGGCATTTTCTTTCAAGCTGAGGGATAATCGGGCCTGCCAGTGCAGTCCAGCTCTGCCCTGTCCAGTCCAGCTAGCAAAGGAGCTAGGGTGAGGGAGAAAGCCTGGGATCTGAGCAAAGGCCGCTGTCAGGGGGGCAGGGAGGCTGCGAGCCTGGGTTTGGTTCTGGGCAGCACAGCGGAGGAGCTCCCGGTCAGTGGCCATGACCCTGGGACTTTGCAGTTCCTCTTCTTCCTCTGTTTTCCCACGTCAGCCCCTATCTGAGCCTCAGCAGGCCTCAGCTGGCAGTTCTAAGACTGTGTGTGCCAGTCTAAGACCGAAGACTGGATCTGTGTCTGACTAAGACCTTTTCTAATGTTAACTATCTGTGAGGAGCTTTGAAGGGAAAGCAACCAGTCCCCCGCCCAACCCCCACTTCAGATGACTGAGTCATGACCCTTTTTAACAAGACTTCAAAGAAACCTCATCAAAGATAACATTTATATTGAAGAAAACAGTACAACAGTTTTCCTTTTTTTTACTGTAAAGCTTGGAATGAAACACGAGAACCCCATTTCAGCTTTCTGGCAAACAAAGCACAGTGAAGGAGTGGTTATTGCAAGACAAACCTTCCCTCCCTCACCCCGCCTTTTTTTGGACCTTGGTGGCCCCTAAGCTGAATCTCTGACATCAGACCTGGTTTTTCAAGTGCTCAGGTCATTAGGCAATCAGAAAACACCAGAGCTCATCTTGATCATCTCTGCCACAAATTCTAATCTGAGAAGGCACAGTTTCGGTGTGGTGAAGGCTCGTGGGATGAGGGGTCACAAAGTCTGGGTTTTGCCCTGTCTTTGCCCTCCTTCTGCACAGCCAGAGGCCCCAGAAGACATTTAGCTTCTTTGGAAACTGTTTCCCTTTGTACAAAGGGGGGATAATAAATCCTTTGTATCTCACAAAATTGCTTTAAGTACATTAAAATGTATGAAAAAATACTTATTCTGTGCTTGATCAACAATATACTCCCGATATACGTGTGTTGGGTTATAATCGATGCCATTGGTGATGTTTTCTGCAACACTTTCCCCCACCCCCATACCAGTTTAATAAAACAAAGGTAAAGGTAACAATTTAAAAATCGCTGTATTCAAAATTAATAATAAACTTTAGGGTAAATAAGCTTTAAAACAAAAGTACATAAGCAAAAATAAATAATTTACACCGACCCACTAACCTAATTTTCAGAGTAAAGCCATTTTCAATTACAGCACTGTTATCCCGGGCTCCAGCCTGTGGTCAAACTTTGATAGTTCATTATTTTTAAAAAACAGTAACAAAAAATTGAACGCTAAGTAAAATCTTTAACAAAACCAAAGCACTGGATTTAACTTTTTAATTTTAAATAACCAAACTTTGTCATTTCATACATAATCCAATGTAATGGATCCAATTCAATATAATTAGCATTTCAGCTTGAAGAGGTGGTATTTTAACAGGGATGGAAAACTGTAATGAATAGTCTTCAAACGGTGAGGTACAAATAAAAACATACAAGTATACAGTAGAACAAAAACTGCAGACACTCTATTAACTTGGGGAAATATCCGAAGGCTTTACATCCTTTATTATCCATGATGGCTTTTGGAATTGATTGTTTGAAGTATAGACCCTTTGATGTTTTAGATACAGCCTTTATTTTATTTTTTCACAGTAAGTTAAAAATCCATCATAAGACTCCAAAGACTCCACTGATCTTGCACGTAGACTCTAGGAGTTTGCAAAGTGATAAAAGAGTAACGTGAAAATTTACCGTATTGCCCTAATTTCATACATCCTTGTACACAATGAATCAGTTTGGGAATCTATTCCAAGAGTTATATACACAAAAGCATCAAGAATAAAATGTTCTCCACTCTTGCATAAAAATGTGTACAGTATGTTAGGAATGGAAAAACTCTAATTTTCCTGGGCCCGGGCTCTCAGATGTCTGCTGCCTGAAGATGAAAGGCTCCTCCAGATGTAGTGCTCCACTGTTTCGAGGACTAATCATCCAACCCTGGCGTTTCTCCTTGTTGGATCCTAGATGCTATTCTGATGGCTTCTTCCAGAGATGGCTGTTCTCCAAGCTGGAACAGGAACAAACCCATGGGCATAGTTAAGATAATACCAAAGAAATAGTATATGCCAGAAGTTTAAAAAAAAAAAAAATCAAGACTTTTATTTATTTCACAGAGAGAGAAAGAGACAGTACAAGAAGGGGGAGCTGCAGGCAGAGGGAGAGGGAGAAGCAGGATCCCGCTGAGCAGAGGGATCACGGACCCTGGGATCATGACCTGGGCTGAAGGCAGACGCTTAATCGACTGAGACACCCAGGTGCCCCCAGAAGTAAAGTTTCTTTCTGTAATTCTGACAGCTGGACTTAAGACACTACTGCTGAGCCAATCATTAAGAGCTTTAAAAAAAAAATCCTTGCAGGAGAATGATGTAGCTTCTTTCTGTAGGATTTTGATAAACCTTCACTCGTACAACAGAAAAAAGATGCTCACCTTTTCCAATGGGTCACTGAGAACACCCTGTGCCTTTGGCTTCCGTTCCCATAAATTAAATTAAAACCAATGGTCAGCATTTTCCTGAATGTGTTCTCTTTTCCAAGTAAATACATGAGAAACAACTCTTCCCCAGGAAAGGTAATCTGCGCCTAGCATTCTAGACTCTCGGCTTCAATCCAGTGACTTCCCCAAGAAGAGTTTTTTTCTGTCTTCTGATTTTCCCCCAATGTAAAATACAGCTATGCAGGGACTCTCAGGGGATTAACCTAGGGTCTCTGTTTACACGAGGTTCATTTGCAAGGAGGAGCTGTTAAGTGCTTTATAGAATCCGCCTAATGAGATTTATTTGGAAAGTAAAGATGGCTGGGTGGGGGCATGCTGGGATATTTACCAGAAGCTTTTCTTTTTTCTTGTTATAAACCCCCTAAAACACGCAGAGATACTAGAGAACAAAGTGCCGGTCTCTTCGAGTGCACCGCAAACAGCAGTTCTCTTCAAGGAGCTAAGTGCCATACATTATTCTGTGTCCTACCTCCTGTGAAGGTTATGAATAAAGGGCAGTGTATGAGGCCAAGAGCTATGAAGGAGTCCGGCTGTCACCATACTCACCTGAACTGCAATCTGGGTGCCGTTGGATGTGGCCACTAAGGTCAGAGGCCTGGTTTCTGTGGTGACTAAGTGATGGCTGTGCTGTTGGTGCCCCATTTCTGATGAGGCAGTATGGAACGCTGCCAAGTCCTGAGCCACAATTGCAACCTTTATCAAAAAGGACACAGAAGGAAAGCTATGATTAAGTACATTAAACTCCGCTTAATGCAAGGGACTGTCTTTGGATCTGAAAGGAAAAACTCCCTTCTGATCACAGACTTGTAGAAGCCTAAAGCTGGAAAGGAACTTACAAATTGTCTATTCTAATCTTTTTTTTTTTTTTTTAAAGATTTGTTTATTTTATATAGAGATAGCAGAGCAGGGGTAGAGGGAAAGAGAGAATCCCCAGTAGACTCCCTCCCTGCTGAGCAAGCAGCCCCACACAGGGCTCAATCCGGGGATCGAGCCCCGCCCGCATAGGGCTCTCTCTACTCAGCGGGGAGCCTGCTTCCCCACCCCCCCTCCCCACCTCTCTGCCTACTTGTGATCTCTGTCAAGTAAATAAATAAAATCTTTAAAAAAAAAAAAGATCTGTATGTTTCATTGTGTGTAAATTTTACCTCAGTTAAGAAAAAACAGATTGTAGGCTGATATGAAAAACCTCGTTAGTGGTCAGACAAATGACAATAGAAACAGAATTCAACTTTCGCTTGTGAATTATGCAAATTAAAAAAAAATCCTCAATACTAGCAAGAAGAGTACAGAAGAACCAGGAAGCTTTTAGACCCATAACATAATTGTTAAAACTTTTTGGAAAACAATTTGGCAGTATGTAGCAAACAGCTTAAAATACTTTATACCATTAATTCAATAATTCCATGTCTAGAATTTATTCCTATGAATATAACCAAAGTCTTATACAACAATTTATGTATATAGCATGAGTTAATTAGGTCCATTTGATGGATTACTTTACAAATGATAAAAATCCTTTTAAAAGACCATTTAATTGGTATGAGAAAGTGCTCAGAATACAGTGTTAGATGGACGACAAGCACAAAATTATAATCCTAACTCTGTACACACACACACACACACACACACAAAGTAAGTAGTTAAGTAGTTCTAAATGTTGAGACTAGTTATTTTAACATCAAAAGAATATAGTAGATTTTTAAAAAATATGTTATTTTTAAGTAATCTCTAAACCCACTGTGGGGCTTGAACTCATAACCTTGAGATCAAGAGTCATATGATCCACTGACTGAACCTGCCAGGCACCCCGATTACAGCAGATTTTTAGTTTGAGTCTCTATTTTTAATTACTTTGGATATATTGCTACAAGTGGAATTATAGGATCACATGTAATTCTATGTCCATTAAGTAGGCTCTATGCCCAATAGAGAGCTTGAACTCATGACCCAAGATCAAGAGTCACACACTACCAACTGAGCCAGCCAGGCACCCCATTATGTTCAACTTTTTTTTTTAAAGATTTTATTTATTTTTTAGATTTTATTTATTTGACAGACAGATATCATAAGTAGGCAGAGAGGCAGGTGGGGGGGAAGCAAGCTCCCCGCTGAGCAGAGAGCCCGATGCGGGGCTCGATTCCCGGACTCCAGGACCATGACCCAAGCCGAAGGCAGAGGCCCCAACCCACTGAGCCACCCAGATGCCCCTATTTATTTATTTTAGATTAAGAGAGAGAGAAAGTGTGAACAGGGTAGAGGGAGAGAGAGAATTCCAAGCAGACTCCATGCTCAGCACAGAGCCTGACGCGGGGCTCGATCTCACAACCCTGAGATCACAACCTGAGCTGAAACCAAGAGTCAGACACTTAACCGACTGAGCCATTCAGGAACCCGGAACTGCTAAACTGTTTTCCATAGTATTGCACCATTTTACATTCCCATGAGCAATGTACCAGCGTTCCAATTTTTGAGTTGGATCCTCAGCAACACTTGTTACTGACTTTTGAATAATAGCCCAACCTAATGGGAGAAAAGTGGTATGTCAGTGTGGTTTTGATTTGCATTTCCCTGATGACTAATGATGTGGAACATCTTTTCATGAGTTAATTGGCCATCTCTAAAACTTTTTTTTTTTTTTTAAGATTTTATTTATCTATTTGACAGACAGAGATCACAAGCAGGCAGAGGCAGGCAGAGAGAGAAAGGAAAGCAGGCTCCCCGCCGAGCAGAGAGCCCAATGCGGGGCTCGATCCCAGGACCCTGGGATCACGACCCGAGCCGAACGCAGAGGCTTTAACCCACTGAGCCACCCAGGCGCCCCAACCCATCTCTAAATCTTAATGGAGAAATGTCTGTTCAAGTCATTTGTTCTGGCTTAAAATTGGGTGGCTTAGTTTTTTGAGTTTTTTGTTGTTGAGTTATAAAAAGTCTTTATTCTAAATATTCATCCCTTATCACATATGTAATTTGCAAATACCTTCCTCTCATTATGTAGATTGTCTTTTCACTCTCCTGGTCCTGGCCTCTGATGCACAAACTCTTTAATTTTTTATTTTATTATATATATATATTTTTTTCTTTTTCAAATTTTTCTTTAAATTCTAATTAGTGAGTGAAGTTTTTCATTTTGAGCAAGTTTGATTATCTATTTCTTTCATTGCCTCTGCTTTTGGTATCATGCATAAGAAATAATTCTCTAATCCAGGTCATGAAGAGTCTCATCTATATTTTCTTCTAAGCATTATGTAGTTTTAGCTCTTAAATTTAGGTCTTTAAAATATTTTGAGTTATTTTTCATATATGCTATAAGGTAAGAGTTGAACTTCACTCCTTCTTATGTGGATATAATTTTCCCAGCACCATTTGTTTAAATGACCATCCTTTCCCAATGAATGGTCAAATTTTAATTGTTGAAATTTAACTGACTGTATGTGAGAGTTTCCTGACTTTCTATTCTATTACACTGGGAATATTTATTACTTTCGTAATCTCAAACTAAAACAGATTGAGAGCATGGACTCTTCTCTCTCTACCTGCTAACTAGGCTTCCAGAGGCATCTACAAAACTGAGTTGAAGAATGGATGACAAGCACAAAATTATAATCCTAACTCTATACACACACACAATAAAAAAAAAAAAAAAAGAAAAGAAAAGCCAGTGAAGGACCATTTGCTTTCTTCTTGTGCATGTGAAGAACCAGGCAATTTAAGCGTTATAGATAATTCACAGGTAGTGTCTGGACACCCCAAGTAGATAGCCGACGTTTGCCCAATGGCCTACAGTTGCAGCAGCAGAAGCAGTGGGGGCATCTGGTCCTCCAATGAAACCCCCACTCCTGTTGTAACATTCCTGGTTGCTGGAAGCTGCCTGGCTTCATTCCAGCCCTCAAAGCTGCCTTTCCTGAAAATTTTCCTACTCCCCAGGCTACAGATAAACTACAAAAGACTCTTTGCTTTAGGGTCACTACCCTTCCAGACCTGCAACTCTAACTGGCATAAGGTGTATGTACCTACGCTGTACCGTGCAGCCATCCAGGGATCCTACACTCATGGAAATGACCGGGACCACTCCGTAAGACAGCCTGAAAGCTAGTGGCTGGGTTTTGCTTTTGTTTCTGTGTTTGCAGAGACTATAATTGACAAACAATAAAAATGCACAAATCTTTAGGTGTTCTGTTGAGTTCTGGCTGTTAGATACATCTGTAGAACCACCACCTAAAACAAAAGAGATGACAGTTCCTTCATATTCCATCCCATCGTTTCCTTCCCCCAGGGCAAGCAGCATTTTCTGATTTCCATCACCATGGATTTGTTTTGTCTGTTCTTGGATTCCATGTAAATGAAATCATACAATACGTATTCTAGTGGAACTGCTGGGTGGTGGGGTGTAAGAAACCACCAAACAGTTCTTCAAAGCGGTTATATCATTTTACACTCCCACTAGCATGTATGAATGTTCTAGTTGCTTCGCATCTTTACCATTTTCTTAGTCTTTTCACAGTTTTAGTAATCTTCCTGTGTCTGAAATGGTGGTATCTCATTGTGATTTTAATTTGCATTTCTTTGATAACTACAGATTTGAACACTTTTTTGTTACTGGCCATTCTTTTTTTTTTTTTTTAAGATTTTTATTTATTTATTTGACAGACAGAGATCAAAAGGAGGCAGAGAGGCAGGCTCCCCGCTGAGCAGAGAGCCCGATGCAGGGCTCGGTCCCAGGACCCTGGGATCACGACCTGAGCTGAAGGCAGAGGCTTTAACCCACTGAGCCACCGAGGTGCCCTTGTTACTGGCCATTCTTATGTGTTCTTTTATGAGAGGTCTGTTCAAATGAATAGTCAAATGATTTGCTCATTTAAAAAAAAATTATAAGGGTGCCTGGGTGGCTCAGATGGTTAAGCGTCTGCCTTGGGCTCAGGTCATGATCCCAGGGTTCTGGGGTCAAGCACTGAGGCAGGCTCTCTGCTCTGCGGGGAATCTGCCTTCCCTTTCCCTCTGCCTGCTGTTCCCCCTGCTGGTATTCTCTCTCTGTCAGATAAATAAATAAAATCTTTAAATAAAATAAAATAAAATAAAATAAAATATTGTATTTATTTTGCTCACTTTTATTGGGCTATTCATCTTTTTATTGTTGATATGTAGAAGTTTGTTATATATTCTCAATATAAATCCAGTGTCAGATATATAGTGTGAATATATTTTTCCCAATCTGAAATTTTTCTCAATCTCATTCTTAATGAGGTCTTTTGATGAACAGAATTAATTCTGATGAAGTCCAATTTATCTTTTTTTTAAATTGGTAGTGCATTTTTTATCCTAAGAAATCTTTATCCTAGGGTTACAAAAATATTCACTTTTCTTCCAGAAGCTTTATGATTCTGAGTTTTGTATTTCAAGATGTAAAGACCTTCAACTTTGTTCTTTTTTCTAGGTTGTTTTATTTATCAAAGGTCCTTTCATTTTCATGTAAACTTTAAAATGAGATTATTTAATATCTTCAAAAGAGCATGCTGGAATTTTGATTGTGAGGCTATGGAATTTATAAATGAATTTATGAAGAATGAGAGCTACTAATTTTGACCGACTCTTTCACTGAACACGGTAAGGCAGCTGCAGCAAATCTCAACACTGCTTTCAGCATAGCGTAAGAACAACTGTAAAATGTATTAATAGCCTGTATTTTGAGGGAAATGAAAAATTAAAACTACAAAGAGATACATCGGATTGGCAAAAATGCAAAAATTTGATACCACTGTGTTGACTCTACAGAAGGGAAAGAGGCAGTCTCAAATGCTGCTGGTGGTCATGTGGCTGGGCACTGTCATGTGGAAGGGAAGCTTGGCACTACTTATCACAATTATAAATGCACTCCAGGATTTGCCTAGCAGACTTACACACGTGCCAAATCACACAAGCACGAGGTGATATGTTGTTTGAAACAGCAGAAGTCTTTAACCATTGTGTTCATATAATGAAACATGGTACAGTTTTTAAAAATGAGGAAGTGGTCTGTATAATGAAATAGAAATATTACCTAGATGTAGAATTAAGTTAAACAGAAAAACAAACAAGGTGAAGAACAGTATAGTTAACTACCATAAGAAAGAAAGGAAGGGGAGAAGATAACCGTTATTTGTTCGTATACACTTCATGAATTGCTGGAAGGCTACACAAGAAGCTAGTAAAAGTGGATTATCTCTGCGGCGGCAAGAACTAGGTTGATGGAGGCAGGGCTAGGAGGAAGACTTTCCACTGCATACTTGTGTATACTTTTTGATTTCTGAACTATGTGACTATATTACATATTCAAAATATTAAATAAACTAAATTTTGCAAATCAACTTTTCCTAACTATCTGATGATGATCACTGGAGGGGTTAAGATTAACGAACACCTTAATATACACCCGGGCTTTGTATTAACTACTTTATACGCACTTTCTCATTCAGTCCTTATCTCAGCCTTCTGGTGTGGATGCAACAATCACTCCTCTTTTACAGAGGAAGAAAAACCGAGACTCAGAGCTGTGTGGCTAATGAGCTGTAAAGCTGGGATTCAATCCAAGTCTGTGTGCTTCACAACACCATATCACACTGCATATCTACATAACGGTTATAATATTGACACGTGTACTGACTCACATCCAAAGAAAATAGCATTACCTGCTGTCCTTCTGTGCCCTCGGCTGTAACCATAGCAACAGAGTGTGTTCCTGCTGAGGAGATGACTGCGTCGTGAGCTGGGACTGTAATGGGCGTGCCATCCTGCGTTACCATTGTGATGGTATTGCCAATGGCTTGCATGTCAGCTTGAGATATGTTGACCTGCAATACAATGCATTTTACAAATCAGTCTCTCTCTCTCTTTTTTTTTTTTTTTTACCAGTTTTTAAAATAAGCTCTACACCCAATGTAGGGCTTGGACTCATGACCCTGAGATCAAGAGTTGCACGTTGTACTGACTAAGCCAGCCAGGTGCTCCAAATATTTGGCAATACTTATTGAGGACTAGGCCCGATCCTTGTATAAATCTACTCTGAGGGAGCAAATAATAATAATAAACTCTTTTAGAAAGAGATAATCAGAAAAACTATTTCTTTTCTTTTTTAAAGGTTTTAATTGAGTGTAATCTCTACACTCAATGTGGGGCTTGAACTCACAACCCTGAGATCAAGAGTCACATGTTCTACCGACTGAGCCAGCCAGGTGCCCCAAAACTGACTATTTCTGAAGTACATTTCCTCCTTTCCATCTCTACTGCCCATTTAGACCTTTATTTTCCTCTCGTCTGACCTCCTGCAATAATATAACTTCTTTCTAGGGATCCAATCTAACCTTACCTAAACCATCCTTTACCCTGACACCTTTTTAAGAAAACAAATTTCAGGGCACCTGGGTGTCTCAGTAGTTAAGTGTTTGCTCTTGGCTCAGGTTGTGATCCCAGGATCCTGGGATGGAGCCCAGCATCTGGCTCCCTGCTAAGTGGAAAGCCTGCTTCTCTCTCCCACTCCCCCTCCTTGTGTTTCCTTTCTCACCCTCTTTCTCTGTCAAAGAAATAAATAAAATCTTAAAAAAAAAAAAAAACAAATTTCATTTTGCTCCCTCCTTACATCCCTAGTGACCCCCCCATCACTAGAGTTCAGACTTCTTTTTTTTTTTTTTAAGATTTTATTTATTTATTTGACAGAAATCACAAGTAGGCAGAGAGGCAGGCAGAGAAGAGGAAGGGAAGCAGGCTCCCCGCTGAGCAGAGAGCCTGATTCCGGGCTGGATCCCAGGACCCTGGGATCATGACCTGAGCCAAAGGCAGAGGCTTTAACCCACTGAGCCACCCAGGTGCCCCAGAATTCAGACTTCTTACATGGCATTTGTGACCTTTCGCAATCTGGCCTTTAACAGCTTCTCCAGACTCATCTTCTACTACTTCGAAACCAGCATCTGGCATTCCCAGCCACAACTAACCGTCTGCAGTTCCTGAGTGTCATATTCTGTTTTATCGTCGTGACTTTTCCCATCCCTTCATTCTGCTTGCCAAACTATGGAAATTCTTCAAGATCCTACTAATACATGGCCACTCTCGGGGTACCTGGGTGGCTCCGTTGGTTAAGTGTCTGACTTCAGTTCAAGTTGTGATTTCAGAATTCTGGGATGAGCCCCACTCTGGGCTCCCTGTTCGTCAGGGAGTCTGCTTCTCCCTTTTCCTCTACCCCTCCCCCCACACTCATGCTTGCTCGCTTTCTAATAAATAAATCAACCTTAAAAAAACAAAACAAAACAAATGCCCATTCTCCGTAAGGGCTTCCAACATTCCTTCAGGAAGAATTATTTACTCCTGGGGTGCCTGGGTGGCTCAGTCATTAAGTGTCTGCCTTTGGCTCGGGTCATGATTCCGGGGTCCTGGGATCAAGCCCCGCATCAGGCTCCCTGCTCAGCAGGAAGCCTACTTTTCCCTCTCCCACTCACCCTGCTTGTGTTCCCTCTCTCGCTGTGTCTCTCTGTGTCAAATAAATAAATAAAATCTTAAAAAAAAAAAAAAAAAAGAATTATTTACTTCTTCCTCCAGGATGATGCTGCGCTTTACACATCCCTCAATCATATGACCATCATTATAAGAAGTTATTGGTCATTTAGGAATAGTTCTCTCCTACTAGACTATGATACCCACCCCTACTTTCTGTACTCCCCACATTAAGTCTATCAAAATATCTGGCACTGGGTAGAATTCAGTAACTGTTTACTATTTAATTGACTAAAGGAATGGAAGAAAAATCTAATCCCTGAAGGAAATGGGAAGGCTACATCTGGAGAAAATACCTCACAATAAGGAAAATAGCTGTTCCGGAACACATGAAGGGGGATGAGACTCATTTTATCTGGTCAGAGAGGAGCCAAGATTGATTGACAACAGTAGGTTCCAGTCTGATAAACAACAGAATTATCCAACAATGGAACAGGGTGCCTCTTACGAAAGAAACTGCCTTATCTGTTTGGGGGCTGCTGTAGCGGGAAATTCTCCTGTATCAGGAGGGAGGGAGGTTACCTAGCACGACTTCAAGAGGGTCTCTGTCTGTCTGATCTAATTCAAGAAAGTCTTGGGTTTGATGCTAAATTAAAACTGCATTAGTATATATATTTAATCTTTCATGGCAACGAGCGGACAAAGAATATGGTGAGGAAGTAGTGCTGTGAGGGGGGAAGGAATGAATGGGATGGTAAAAACACCTTGAACTTGCCAATCCTGAACATGTTCTGTCTCCTAATTAACATCAGCATAGTAACAGTTACCAACACGAGGGCAGATTCATCATGGGGTAGGGAGGTAAGCTCTGAGAAAGACAGGGAAAGAGAGAGTTCTCCATGGAGACAGTTACAGGTGGATAAAGAGCCCCATATGCCTATTTATATCAGGTACTAAGACAACCTTAACTGGAGCTTAAAAATGAAATCAGTGGGGTGCTGGCTGGCTCAGTGGGTTAAGCCTCTGCCTTCAGCTCAGGTCATGATCTCAGGGTTCTGGGATCGAGCCCCGCTTCAAGCTCTCCGCCCAGCAGTGAGCCTGCTTCTCCCTCTTTCTCTGCCTGCCTCTCTGCTTACTTGTGATCGCTCTGTGAAATAAATAAATAAAATCTTAAAAAAAAATGAAATCAAGTCTGGATTATTTTAGGTTAGTGGCATCTAGAAACCAGTTGTTTGGAGAGTAACAATTACATTGCTTTACCCCGGGAAATCAAGATACTTGGTCCATTAATTCTGGGAGGTAAGTTAAGGGAAATCCCATTAACTCCAGGTAGGGAGAAAATCACATGCTGGAAATTTTACAGTTTTGCCCATTGCTAACTTCCCATGATTTTTTTTTTTTTTAAGATTTTATTTTTAAGTCATTCCTACACTGAATGTGGGGCTTGAACTCACAACCCCAACATTAAGAGTCACATGCCCCACTGACTGAGCCAGTCAGGCACCCCCTCCCAGGATCTTTTAATGCTGCTTCCCTATCCTCATCTCCTCAGTCAAGGCTCTGCTGGTTTCTCAATCTTACCTCCTGGATTTAATCAGCTACTAAATAATCCTAGCCCTTCTCTGATTTATATTTCTCATGAGCCCTTTACTTTTCAAGCCCTCAATTTCACTGTGGTTCTGACCTTTATCACGTTACCTTTGAACTATACCAGTAACTATACCAATATCACTCCAACAGTACCAATGCTGGAGTCACAGGCATCCTTCCTCTCCTAATGCCCCTGTACGAAGCCTCTCTCAGAGGCCTACTAGAACACCTTTAGGTCTCACACCGCCTAGGAGCTGATATTCAAGGCTTTCCTCAGTTGGGGCTGAACCTGCCTTCCATGTCCATGTTCAAAGAAATATTATTTAACTTGTTTGGCTTTTGGTGGATACTCACATGCTGAGTCCCATCCTGGGATATAAGTGTAACTTGTTGACTCAACCCGGACTGCGTCACCGTGGCTACTTGTGTAGATACAACATCATCCCCTTCCACGCCTGTAACATACGTGATCTGGGACCCTTTAAGAACATCTTCACTTTGACCTATTTAAAACAAATGAATCATTTGTTTGACCAACCAACAAAGCTGTTTAGAAAACAGAGGATATATTTTCTTTTTTAAATCACTTTGAATATTTCTTATTTATCTTTTCCTAAATTTTTGTTTTAATTCCTGTTCATTAACACACAGTGCAATACTGGCTTCAGACGTACAATACAGTGATTCTTCACTTTCATACATCACCTGGTGCTCATCACAATACTCCTTAACCCCCGTCCCCTATTTCACCCACCCCCTCCCTGCCTACCTTCCATCTGGTAACCATCAGTTTGCTTGGCATAGTTAAGAATCTATTTCTTGTTTTGTCTCTCCTTTTTTTCCCCTTGCTCATTTGTTTTGTTTCTTAAATTCCACATGAGTGAAATCACATGGTATTTCTCTTTTTCTGACTTACTCCACTTAGCATAATACTCTTCGCCTCCATCCATGTCGTTGCAAATGGCAGGATTTCATTCCCTTTTATAGCTGAATAACATTCCGTCGTGTGTGTATGTGTGTGTGTGTATACATCTTTATCCATTCATCAACTGACGGACACTTGGGCTGCTTCCATACCTTGGCTATTGTAAATAATGCTGCTATAAACACAGGGTGAATAAGAGCACGAGTGGGAGGGGGCAGAGGGAGAGAGAGGGTAAGAATCTCAAGCAGACTCCACACTGAGCTGGAGCCCGACTCAGAGCTCAGTCTCACAAGCCTGAGATCATGACCTGAGCTGAAACCAAAAGTCAGATACCCAACCAACAGAGCCGCCTGGGTGCACCTTGTGTTTTTGTATTCTTCAGGTAAATACCCAGTAATTCGATTAATGAATCATAGAGTTAATTCTATTTTTAACTTTTTTGACGAACCTCCATACTGTTTTCCACAGTGTCTGCACCAGTTTGCATTCCCACCAGCAGTGTATAAGGGTTCTTTTCTCACCAACACCTGTGTGATTTTAGTCATTCTGACAGGTGTGAGGTGATGTTGCAGTGTAGTTCTGATTAGCATTTCAAAAACAGACAATATTTGGGGCGCCTGGATGGCTCAGTGGTTGAGCGTCTGCCTTAGGCTCGGGCCATGATCTCGGGGTCCTGGGATTGAGCCCCGCGTTGGGCTCTCTGCTCAGCGGGGAGCCTGCTTCTCCCTCTCCCTCTGCCTGCCTCTGCCTGCTTGTGATCTCTCTCTCTGTCAAATAAATAAATAAAATCTTTAAAAAAAAAAAAGACAATATTTTAAACACGACAGAAATACTTGTATAGATTAAAGTGTATATGTGTTATATTCCAAATCATAAAAATGGCTTCCAGCACCTCTTTCCAATTCTTCCACCTCCACTTTTGTAGAGCCAAACAGAATCAAAGCAGACCAAACCAAACCTTTCCAAATCAAATTTAAATGTTCTAATTTCGAGGGCATCTGGGTGGCTCAGTTGGGTAAGCGTCAGACTTCCACTGAAGTCTTGATCAGTCCTGGGATGGAGCCCCACATCAGGCTCCCTGCTCAGCGGGGTGCCTGCTCCTCCCTCTCCCTTTGTTCCACCCCCTGCTCAGGATCTCTCTTTCTCCCTCTCTCAAATAAATAGTCTTAAAAAAAAAAAAAAAGTCCTAATTTTGGGAGACCCCTTTTATTCTTACTTGGAGTCATTCTGTGATACCATGCATGTGTGCCAGGGCATGGGGGGTACAGGACAGGAAGACTGCCTGGGAAACAACCCTTCCAACAGGGCAAGTATGCATGAAGTTCTTGCAGTCACTTAAGAAGCTGTTAAAAATGATAAGACAATCTTCATAAACATTAACCACAAAACCAGAATGTGGTGTCAACAGAAACTTCTATAATACTAAATTACTCACTCTTTAACACAAGTGACTGATGGCAAGTCATCAGTACACAATGACCACATTGTGTAAAGACAAGGTAATGACATATTATCTGGGGTAAGGTTAATCATTAAATGAGGGACAGAACAGGAACCCCCATCCACTTCTTTATTTCATAAAGAACCAGCGAGTAAACAGCAATTTCAACAGTCCATTACTGCTATACTTGGCAACCAGGAAGCCTGCTGATCCTTCTCTTCTATGGCTTTCTACCTCCCACGAAGCCAGAAAAAGGGCAAATATGGGATATTCTTTTCCCTTCAAAGAAGGACTTATGCTAATTTAAGAGTACTTCTCCACGGTAGTGGCTGACGCTTGCACGCATATGGCTCTGATCCTGGGCGTGTAATCTCCACGGCAGTCGTTACTTCACGCCTGTCTGTTCTGTGTCACAGCCATTCAGATATTATTATCTGAATGGGCTACAAAACCTCAAGAATCATATGAGAGGAAAGGAATGCAAACCCATCGGTATTCTTGGAAAAACAATCTTCGTTGATTATTTTTTTAACAAAATGTGCGCCAGTATTTCACGGACTATTTCCAGAATACAAGAAATTCAGACCATCTGCAAGATCAACTTCGAAGGAAGAGACTGAAGAAGCTTAAAAAAAGAATTTTCAGGGCACCTGGCTGGCTCATTGGGTTGAGCGTCTGCCTTTGGCTCAGGTCATGATCTCTGGGTCCTGGGATCAAGCCCCGCATCCGGCTCCTTGCCCAGTGGGAGGCCTGCTTGTCCCTCTCCCTCTGCCCATTCCCCTTACTTGTGCTCTGTCTCTCTGACAAATAAATTAAAAAAAAAAAAAAAATTTTTTTTTTAAAACCTGAGCTTGTCATCATTAAAGCCTGTTTAAACAAACAAACAAAGCCTGCTTTCTAACTGCAAGGACCCAGCAGTTGGGGGGCTACTGGACCGTGTGCACTCACAGCGCTTTGCCAAAAACACAGCACCCAGGACTGAAGGAGCTGTTACTTCGACACATGACAAACGTCTGAAAAGACAAACTAGAACTACAGGGAACCACTGCAGCAGGGAGCAAATGACGTGCTCTTCCCCTCATTCTCCAACCAACTTTTTTCACCTAAAAGTTTTTCAACGCTTCACTCTAAGAACGGGAAAATATGATTTCTTTTCATTTTCAAATCTATCTTGTTTAGGAGGTATGCGGTGACCAGCAGGACAACCTAGGTTTGGTTTTGTTTTTTAAGAAAACCTTTACTTACTCTACTTCCTCATCTATGAAATTACAGAATGTAATCCTCTAACGTTTTTTCCCAAGAGTTTATTCTTATCGAAATGAATGCTTCTGTCTCCTACAACAGTACTGAATAGCACATGAATCAACGAAGAGTTATTTGGCAATGCTACACCGCTCTAATGCTTAAGACCAACATCGTTAGGGCACCCAAATAGCCTAGCTGCTCCTCCCTTCCTTTCTAGGGCAGAAGCGCCCCACTGGCCAGACAACTTCTTCTTTTTTTTTTTTTTTTTAAAGATTGTATTTATTTATTTGATAGAGAGATAGACAGCACAGGCAGGCAGAACAGTAGGCAGAGGGAGAGGGAGAAACACTCCCCGCCGAGCAGGAAACCAGATACGGGGCTCAATCCCAGGACCCTGGGATCATGACCCGAGCTGAAGGCAGCTGCCCAACTGACTGAGCCACCAGGCACCCCTGGCCAGACTTCTTTTAGTCTCTCCAATTTATTTTGCTCCCTTCATCCTGAGGGCTTTCTGTATGTGCCCTCCCCTCTATTGGAATGTCCTCTTGACTTTGCTCGTTATTTCCCCTTCTTGCCAAATCCCTGCCTCTCCACCAAATTTACCTCCATCCACCCTCTCCCATCTCTCCTAGTAGCTGTCACTTTAACCTATTTAAGAAGTGTGCCTAGCTAACCTGTAATGAACTTTACAAAACCAGGAAGCTCACATGGCCTGTGCAAGTGATTGACTGCAACTCTTTGCCTTCACAATCTATTATACCTAGCGGTCACTTACTAAGCAGCAAAAGAAGTCACTCAAACTCAGCTCGAAGCAAGGCGAGACTGCTCTAGACATCGGGGAGGCAGTGGGTCCTTCCTCTGCTTCCCGGCGTGGCAGACCCCTCCGCTCCTACCACTCAGGCCACTGTCACTTGAAATAAGCTTAATCTGCAGGCTGGCAGGTTCCAGGACTTCTTTAGTGACACTTAAAGCTTTCCTTGCTGAACAGAAGCCACAGTCAAGAGCTAAACCCTCCCTAATATATGCAAGTGGAACCAGGTCTGACAAAAGAAAAACTGCCATTTGAGCTAAGCTGTGTGTCCTAAACCCACTCTATTGTGATCCTTCTGTTTAACAAGAGGGGAACCAAACAGGGAACAAAACAAAACAAAACAGGGGCGCCTGGGTGGCTCAGTGGGTTAAAGCCTCTGCCTTCTGCTCAGGTCGTGATCCCAGGGTCCTGGGATCGAGCCCTGCGTCAGGCTCCCTGCTCAGCAAGGAGCCTGCTTCCTCCTCTCTCTCTGCCTGCCTCTCTGCCTACTTGTGATCTCTGTCTGTCAAATAAATAAATAAAATCTTTAAAACAAAAACAAAAACAAAAACAAATCAAAAGCAAAAACACCTCCCAGACTAGGCTAACTTCCCTGAGATATCCCAGAGCACCAAGTCCATTTCCTTGACAGTACTTACTACAGTTGTAAATTCTATGTCTGTGTGATTATTTGAATAAAACTCTGTGATCTGAGAAAATGCTATGAATCACAAATTATGATAGCTGTTAATTCCCCAACATAGAGCTTTACCGGAAAGTACACTCACCTGGGGGAGGCTCAAAGAAGGCTTCCTGCTCCTCCTCGATAGGCTCAGTGTCATTGTGCGCTGTCCGTTTGTGCATGGCCAGCGTGGAGATCTGCTTGTAGGTCTTCCCACAGTGGTTACAGTTGTATGGTTTGGAATGAGTGTGAACAACATGATGTTTGTATAAACTGGAATATTCTGTAAACCTTTTGTCACACCCAGGGACTGTACAAACATATGGCTTTTCACCTAAGTAAAGAACATACACACAAAAAATCAACTTTGCATATGAAGGCATAATCATTCCATCTCTCCCACGGGGGTTGGGGAGGCAACTAATAGCAAAAATAGATAGTTCTCAGATCTCTTTCTATACCGCCATAAGACAAAACATAAGAAAAGACTCCCTTAACTATGGTTTTTGTCTTGGCTCAAAAGGTAGTCTGAATTCTGAGTCTTATCTCATGCCTGAATACCATTTTTCCCTTAATTTCAAGGGATGAAAAAAGGACGGAGATGTTGCCAAGTTTAATGCTAAGCTTTGATAAAACTCATTGATTGTTAACTACAACTAGACAAGCTAGATATTAATACTATACTAAAAAATAATAAATGCAGTTATTTTTAAAACAAATACATCTTTCCTTAAGGGTTTTATAAGGACAATAAAAAATGATTGCCTAAAAAGTCTGCTAGACATGGTCTAGACACTTAGAAATCTAAAAGGACATACCCATATAATTTCTAAAATGTGCACATGCATGTGTGTATACACGCACACGTCTTATTTCATTCTCATTTGTACCATTCCTTGGGTAATCACATTTTCTTGCATGGTTCTAAACACAGTAGAACCACCCACAAACAGTAAAATCTCAATGTAATCTGTAACATAAGTTTGAGCATAAAGTAATTGGAAACTGCTTCCTTCCTCTGCCCAGTCTATGTTCCCAAAGCCGGGTAGGTTAATGTTCTTATCTTGGTAAATGTCTGTGGGACAGACGTGGTAGGGGCAAGGCCAGGAAGGGAAATGGCAGGCAATTCCAAACAGAAAACCTGCTCCATTGATATTCAGGCTTGAGCAGAAACCGCCCCTAGGTGGCACCAAACCACAGGCAAGACAGAAGTGGATTTAAATTGGGCTTTGGCGCTCCCTACTGGCTATCTGCACAGCCTCAACTGGGTCCTCTAACCAAACCTGAAAGAATGGGTTGCATTTTACATAGCTGAATATTTGCACTCCACTTATAGCATAATGTGGGCATTTACTGTATTATCTACCTGATGATCATTAGCTAATCTTTTCTCCCACTCCAGATCTCCTCTGGGTCAGACCAAAAATTATAGCTATGTACTGCATCTCTCTACTTCACTGCTTCTCAATCACATAAAAGACCAGGTGGGTGGTAATTTCTTTATGTATTTTTACACACACACACACACACACACACACACACAAACACACCTGGAGCTTTTTAAATATATACCGATGCCTGGGCTTCATTCCATAAAATTATGTCAGATTTGTGCAGACAGAATATGGGGAATAAGTCTATTTTTAGAAAAGTGAATCCAATGTACAGTCACATTCAAGAGCAAGACTTTATTTAAATGTTCCAAAGCTCTAAACTTATTGTAGGCATCCCTCTTACTGGAATCTAATTTGCCCATTAAACATGTGGAACAGTAAACTCTTAGGTAATGCATCTATATTCCACTTGCTTTAAATGGGAAAAATAATGTTTTCCCAGCCCATCTAAAAATTCTAGCCAATGTGCGCTTGGGTGGCTCAGTTGTTAAGCATCTGCCTTCGGCTCAGGTCATGATCCCAGGGTCCCTGCTCATCAGGGAGTCTGCTTCTCCCTCTCCCTAGGCCCGTCTCCCCTGTCTTGTGCATTCTCTGAGAAATAAATAAAATCTTTTAAAAATTAAAAAAAAAAAAACCAGCCAATTTCCCCAAATATCATACAAAGGCTCTTAAGCACCTGTGTTATAATCCACCAAGAACATCTACCTAATATGAAGCACTTCAAACACCAGTTATCTAATTATTTAACATTCAGTGAACTCAGTAGTGGGTATATGATGATTTGTAATACATAATGATACAGTACAGAATCAGACAGGAATTCTGTTTTCCTTCTACAATAAAAACATACTATAATCTAAAAATCAAGTATCTTAAAGATATAAAAGAAATACACATTATAGTAGGAAAATATAATTTTTCCTTCTAATCTATGGTTTTCTTTTCCATTTTCTTAGAGAACAGTGTAATAATGGAGGGAACACGATGGCAATAACGCATACTACACAATGTAAGCACAAGACATGACTTACAGAAATATGACTTGTGTGTCCTGTGTTTTCTCAACAGACTCACTTAAAATTTTTTTCTTTCACAGAAAAATGCATCACAAGTAGATTCATTATAGTGGGCTTTCAATTTGGATCATAAATTTTGGGTAAAAATTTTGAAAATCCTTACAGCAAACATACAGATGGTTAGAGTTCAAGTGGGGAGAGAGACCCAGAGACTATAGATTCCAAACTGACAATGTTATTTTCCCTTTCTAACCTCCTCTCCCCCATTTTATGATTCACACAACCCAGATTGATAGGTTCTTCTTTACACCTCGTGACTAACCAAGTCCTGTGCTGATACCTCTTCAATGTCTTTTCATCTGTATCCTTCCCCCATCTCATACTCACTTTGAATATTCTAACAGCTCTCAGTTTACTTGCCATTGGTCTCATTTCCCTTTAACATCTCTCTATAGGGGTGTCTGGGTGGCTCAGTGGGTTAAGCCTCTGCCTTTGGCTCAGGTCGTGATCCTAGGGTCCTGGGATCGAGCCCCACATCAGGCTCTCTGCTCAGCGGTGAGCCTGCTCCCCTCTCTCTCTGCCTCTCTGCCTACCTGTGATCTCTGTCAAATAAATAGATAAAATTTTTTTAAAAAAATCTCTCAATAATATGGACTGAGTGATTTTTTTTCCTAAGAAAAAGCAAATGTTTGGGTGTCTGGTGGCTCAATCTGTTAAGCGTCTGCTTTCGGCTCAGGTCATGATCCCATGGTCCTGGGATTGAGTCCTGCATCAGGCTTCCTGCTCAGGAGGGAGCCTGCTTCTTCTCCTCCTCCTCCCTGTGTGCTCTCTCTCTCAAATATAAATAAAATCTTAAAAAAAAAAAAAAAAGGCAAACCTTCTTTAAATCCTCTTAAGGTTTCCTCTCTGCCCATGGTGATATTCAAATTTGTTAATGTACTCTCTTCAAAGGGAAGGGATTGTTGTGGATCCCTGAAAAGATTTCCAGAGATACTCAGGGATCCGGGGAATTCAGCCAGAGAAACACTGAAACTTCTGTAAAAATGTCTTTTAATTTTAAATTAATGCAAAGTTACTATCTATCTATCTATTTATTTATTTATTTATTTGTCAGAGAGAGTGAGCACAGGCAGACAGAGTGGCAGGCAGAGGCAGAGGGAGAAGCAGGCTCCCCGCTGAGCAAGGAGCCCGATGTGGACTCTATCCCAGGACGCTGGGATCATGACCTGAACCGAAGGCAGCTGCTCAACCAACTGAGCCACCCAGGCATCCCCAAAGTTACTCTTAATACCAGAAATCAAGACAATGTATTAAACAACTTCTTGAAAAACTAATGTACATTCTGCCTTAGCCTCCCTTTTGCCTTTCCCTTTCCAACCACTAAAAACACATTTGCAAAGTACGGCATCAAAATTAAAAACCTTTGTACTGCAAATGGTACCATCAAGAAAGTGAAAAGAAAACCCACAAAATGGGAGAAAATATATGTAAATCATGTATCTGATAAGGGACTTGTATCCAGAATATAATAAAGTATTTTTACAACTCAACAATTAAAAGAACCAAATTTGAAAACCGGGCAAAGGATCTCAGTAGACAGTTCCCCCAAAGACCCGCATATGGTTAATAAGCACAGGAAAAGATGCTCAACATCTTTCGGATACAGGAAAATGCAAATCAAAAGCACAATGAGACAGATACCATTTCACACCTGCTAGGATGGCTACAAGCAAAAAGATAATAATTGTTAGCTGCATTGTGGAGCACTGGAACCCTCACATGTCACTAGAGAGACTGTGAAAAAGCAGTTTGGAAGTTCCTCAAAATGTTAAATACAGAGTTGCCATGTGAACCAGCAATTCCAGGCTAAGTATACATCCAAGAGAAATGAAAATAGAATTCCATGCACAAACTTGTACATGAATGCCCAGAGCAGCATTATTCATAACAGCCAAAGTGAAAGCCACTGGTCAATGGAGAAATAAAATGTGACACATTCATATAATGGAACACTATTCAGTAATTAACAGGAAAGAACTACGGATACATGCTGTGACATGGCTGGGCCTCGAAACCCCATGCTAAGTGAAAGAAGCCGAATGCAAAACCCCCTAGGTTATAGGATTCCATGTGGCTAAAATGTCCAGAATGGGCAAATCCATAAGGACAGAACAAAGACTGCTTACAGCTAGTGGGTGGCGGTGGGAGGAGACTGCTAAGTATGGAGTTTCTTTTAGGTGAAGTGAAAATGCTCTAAAATTGGGTCGTGCTGATGGTACAACCCTGTGACTATGCTAAATAAAAGTGAATTATATACTTTAGTTAATGAATTTATTCATTTTTACTGAAGTAGAGTTGGCACACAATGAATCATATTTTTAAGTAATTATACATTACGTGAATTATATAAAGCTGTTTTTTAAAGAAGAATATAGCCACAGACTGCCCCTCCCCCTTTGCCCCATAAACACCACAAAGGCCAGTTTAAGAAACACCCTCACCATGATAGCACATACACAAGGCCCCTGCCTGCCCCTCCAACCTCACTTCACGCTTGTCTTCTACGTGTGCCCTAGGCCTGCCATATTCTTCAAATAAATCATGCTTTTTGTACCTTTGTGCCTTTAACTGTGACATTTCCCCTGTCAGGAATCATGGTCCCCCTGCCTTTTACCTAGCAAATTTTAGGACTCAGTCTAAAAGTCAATTTCCCCTGGAAAGCCTTCCCTGAATGCTTCTCCCTTCCCACAGAGATGGCTGCTCCCCTCTCTACTCCCAAAACATCTTGTTCAAGGAATGGGAGACACTCTGCACTCCGTAGCAATTGGAGGTCTATCATCTCTCCCCAGTTCAATTGCCCTTGACCATGTCGTATCTGTCTCTGTATCTCTGATGCTTGGCAGGGGAACACACAACAGATGTTCAGTGTCTGTTGAATAAATCAATGTATAAAAGCTAAAGTGAAGGTTTTTTTGAAGTTGCTTAATCCCCCTCCACCATACCAAGTGTTAGGAGGATGGAAGGAATGACTGGAAAATGGTTTATGGAAGAAAGAGACAAAAAAAATTGGAGATAGTTACCTGTGTGTATTCTCACGTGATTTTTATAATTGGTTGCACTGGCAAATGCCCTCCCACATCCTGGTTCTGTGCAGTAATATGGTCTTTCTCCTGTATGTGTCCTAATGTGCACTTTTCTGATATTTGATGTTGTAAAAGACCGACCACAGCCTTCAAAAGGACATTTAAAAGGCCTTTCACCTGAAAACACAAAAAAGAATAAATTACATGGTACAAAAATACATATAAAATTGAAATGTCTTTTTTTTTTTTAAGCTTTTATTTATTTGAGAGAGAGAGAATGAGAGAGAGCGCATAAGCAGGGGTAGGGGTAGAGGGAGAGGGAGAAACAGACCCCACACTGAGCAGAGAGCTTGATGTGGGTCTCGATCCCAGGACTCTGGGATCACGACCTGAGCTGAAGGCAGACGCTTAACCGACTGAGCCACCCAGGCACTCCAAAAATTGAAATGTCTTATCCTTCAATTCTGCCTAGGATTATACTCAAGACTCTAGCCTTCCGGTACGGGGCTTCCCTTTCAGGGTTTTTTCCTTTTTTTCCCTATAAATAGTATCTTCAACTCCAAATTTAAGTTTTTTTTTTTTTTTTTTGAGATTTTATTTATTTATTTGACAGAGAGAAAGATCACAAGTAGGCAGAGAGGCAGGCAGAGAGAGAGGAGGAAGCAGGCTCCCTGCTGAGCAGAGAGACCAATGTGGGGCTCGATCCCAGGACCCTGAGATCATGACCTGAGCTGAAGGCAGAGGCTTAACCCACTGAGCCACCCAGGTGCCCCCAAATTTAAATTTCTATAGGAAATCTGAATATTGTTCAAAACTTGTCACTGATTGCATGACTTTCCAAGATGGAGTCATCCAGATGGGCATATTAAAAAAATGAGCTAAGAAAAGTAGAGAAAAAAATATCATAAAGAAATATAAAAGAAAAATAGAGTCAAGAATAAGAATTATAGGGAAACCTGGGGGGCTCAGTTGGTTAAGGGTCTGCCTTTGGCTCAGGTCATGATCCGAAGGTCCTGGGATCAAGCCCCACATCGGGCTCCTTGCTCAGCGGGGATCCTGCTTCTCCCTCTCCCTATGCCTGCTGCTCTCCCTGCTTGCATGAGCGCTCTTGCTCTTTCTCTCTCTTGCTCTTTCTCTGACAAATAAATAAATAAAATCATTTAAAAAATTTTTTTTAAAAGAGTAAGAATAATATTTGAACAATAAAAAATAAAAATAAATTTAAAAATCAATAAACTAGAAAAACAATATCTGAACCCTAGAATCCCCCAAAAGCTTATATCCTAACTCAATTTATAATATTTTGAAAAAAATTTTTGTTTCTCTAAAAATCTAGTGTCTAACATATAATACATATCAATATACTTGCTGAATATATTATTATGCTCATAATCTAAGCTTATGAAAAAGTCTATTCTGCCAATTATATTCCTTTTCTTCATACTTGCTTTATACAAACTCAGAACTTAAAGGGCCTTTAAACTGTTAGGCAGGAAGCAGTCTTTGGTTTTGATTCCCACGTGCCCTATTTAGAATAAGCTCAAATTAAGCAAACAACTTTTGTGGTTAAAAAAAATAATCTCTGTGTGTGTAGATAAACAAATATTTACCTATATATAAAAGTTGGTTATTTTTCTTTTGGCCAAGTGAAATTATGATTTACCTGCTGGTAAAAATCATTCCAAAATATTTCTACATCAAGTATGAAATCATTTAAAAAGGAGCAGGAACCTCTAATCCTTTCTTTAGAGAAAGTTCCCCCCCCACACCAATATGTTAACCTAAGGAAAATGGTCTATCTTGGGTAAGTCCCTTCTCTCTGGCTCTGGATGACCTTAACATTTTCCCAGCTCTGACATGCTGTGATAAGGAATCTAGCATTCCAGCAATTCCCATGGTGTTATATACACTACTCCTCTGACCCTGTAGCACCTTGCTTTGTTTTTGCTGAAATCATTTGTGTTTGTAATAGACATCCCTGAAGCCCGCTTACTCAATCCAGCATCTTACCAATGAAAATACTCACGATTTAAAAACTGATGCATGACTATATGGTTTGCTAAGTGAGTTCTATCAAAGGAATCACAATTCCAATGTTTTGACCAAATATTAATGGAACTAGATTATGTTTTTATGTAACTTTTATATAACAGGTTGGCATTATACAACAAATCCAAATAGAATTTGCAGGAATTTGGAAACACTTGCATCTGATAACAATGAATAAAAATAAGTACATGAATAAAATAGAAGCAGAGATCTATAGCTTTGTTCCTGAACACTGTAAAGCAAAGCGTATCTGAGATCATATATGAATTATAAGCTAAATTTTAATGACTAGCAAGTCCTCAATGGAAATTTGCTGAACTATTTTAGAATACTTAGAAGTATCTGGGGACAAAGTTATCAGACTATGTTTAAAACATCTGTGGTAAAATTTGAAACTAAATTATTAAGCTATAAATAAGCTTAATCAATAGTTTGTAACAGCATCTCTTATCAACAGTTTCTGAGATTCCTCCAGTTCTCATCCAAAGCAAATAATTACCTTTACAATTCTACAAATAATTAAGAACAAGAAAGAGAGGGGGAGGGGAGATAAAAACAAAGTACCCTTTAGGAAAAGGAGAGGAGGAAATTAAAGGGGGTGAGAGATGATCATAAGGAAGTAATAAGCCTTTCTTTCTGTAAGGCTGTAGGAGTTCATTTTCTTTAGCAGCAACTTAACGCAGGAGAAGCAATGCTGAATTGAGAAGGAACTGGGTGCCTTAGGTTCTAGTCTGAGCTGGGCTACTAAGTAGATGTGCAATCCTGGGTAAATAAGCCTATTGCTCAGATAATACCTACAAACTGTATCTATGACTATAGTCGATTGACTATGACTATAATACCTACAAACTGTATCTATGACTATTGTTCATCCTTTTGGGACATGGACCCCTTTGAGAATCTAACAAAATTATGGGCCTTCATCCTGGAAAGATGTAAACAGCAAGGAGTTTAAGAGAAACCCTTGAAGCTAACTCTGAAATTTCCAGAGACTCCTTCCCCAAGTCCCCTCCCTGCAGATTAAGAATTCCTGGCCTCAGGGCACCTGGGCGCCTGCCTTTGGCTGGGGTCATGATCCCGGAGTCCTGCAGTGGGCCCCTGGCATCCAGCTTCCTGCTTGGCAGGGGGTCTACTTATCCCTCTTCCACTCCCCCGGCTTATGTTCCATCTCTCGCTGTCTCTTTGTCAAATAAATAAATACTATCTATAAAAAAAATTTTTTTTTTAAGAATTCCTGGCCTCAGGGTACCTGGGTGGCTCAGTCAGTTAAGCTTCTGACTTCAGTTTGGGTCCTGATCTTGGGGTCCTGGGATTAAGCCCCACATCGGGCTCTGCACTCATAGGGGAGTCTGCTTAGTTTGCTTGTCCCTCACTCTCTCCCTCTGCCCCTCCCCGCAGCTCATGGGTACACATGTTCTCTCTCTCACATACATGAATTAAAAAAAAAAAAAAAAAATTCCTGGCCTTAAATCAATCAGTCAAATCCTGGCCTACATATGGTATTTGTTCTATCAGTACCTGTATGAGTTCTGATATGTTTCTGTAGATCTCCTGAAGTTTTGAAAGACTTAGTACAATTATCTTCTGAACACCGATATGGCTTTTCTCCTGTATGAGTTCTGACATGACTTTTTAATCCATAACCTTTAAGAAAAATATAAAAGAAATTTCATTATTTGAGATCCCTCTAAGCAAGCCAACTGAGATTAAACAGTTGAAAAATATGATATAATACTGGCAAACACAACAGAGCAGCTATCAACAATGGACAAGAATATGACAGCTAAGGGTCATCATGCTAGAAATTCCATAGTTTCAACTCTGTCTAGAAGAGGTTATATGTGTTTCTTGTTTTTAAGTGCCCCAATCTTATTAGATGTTCACAACTCCTACCCCAAAAGCTTGAGGTGGAATTGAGACATTAAATGAGGAACAGGGTGGAAGTCAGGAGGCCTGGTCCCAGTGCTGGCCCTGCTGGATGTCTCCCCAGGCAGGCCCCAACCCCTGCTAAGTCCCAGGTGCCCACGGTTCCCTCAGGTCTGCCCTAATGTTAAATTCTGTGTCTGCTTCTAATGCTTGGCCTTTATTTTTCTGCAAAAAGAAAGGAGAGTGTGGAGTGAAATACCACAGTAGGCAGAGATAGGCCTGAGGAGAAAAATGGAAGCAGAAAGAGAAAGAGAGAAAATAGAGCAAGCAGGACAGGAGAAAGTTAAGGGAGAGACCGAAACCCTGGTTACTGAGCATCTACTAATTCAGACAAAGGCAAGCGGTCAATTCCTGCTCCTGGCCAGTCCCTGCCCCTGGCCAGTCCCTGCTTGCCCCCTAAGTCGAACTATGAAATGAAGAAAATTAATGTTTTTACCTGTTGCAAATGCCTTCCCACAGCCTAGATGCTCACACTGATAAGGCCGGTCTCCCGTGTGTGATCGCTCATGGACCTGTCATTAAAATGCAGGCATGAGTCTATTTTCTTCAGGCATCCCTCAGGTAGATGGTTTCAAGAGAGACCTATTTATTTTTTCCCCCCATTGAATTACAGTTGACCTTTGAACCACACAGGGGTTAGGGGTGCTGACCCCTGCCTCTATGCAGTCGAAAATCTGTGTATAACTTCCTGACCCCCCAAAAATGTAAACTACTAATAGCCTACTGATGAACAGAACCCTTACCAAGAGCATAAAGCATAATGAAAGTTTATCACGTTATCACATTATTTCCCATACTATATTCTTTCAATACAGGAAGCCACAGAAAAGAAAATGTTATTAAAATACATTTACAGTACTATACCGTATTTGAAAAAATTCACATGTAAGAGGACTGCGCAGTTCAAACCTGTGTTGTTCGAGGCTGAACTGCAGTTTGTTGTTTGTGTTGTTTTTTTTTTTTAAACAAAAGACAGCTTTTCTCAAAAACTATGGCCCACCAATTCTCAATACAGACCTAAATGCTGTATGTTAAGAAGTACTCATTTTAATTACAGAACAGGAGTACTGGAGGTGGTCAGAGGTGTCTGTATGGAACACAGACATGGTGAGAGCTAGGAGCAGACCGTAGGGAAAGGCTACACAACGTAAGGTTAAGAGCGTGGAGGTTGCTGCGAGAGGGGCCTTGCCCTGAGGCAAGGCTTCACCATGGACTAGTGGGATGGCCATGGCAGGTGCCTTCTCTAAGCCTCAACTCCTCTCTGTAAAGCCAAGACATAACTGTATCTACTGTAGAGGGCTGCTGTGGCAAATGAAGAATCACAACAGTGGCCAACATTTACTGAATCTCTACCACGCCATTTTTTTCACTATTTTACGTACATAAAATCTACTTATTTATTTCTCAGAACCGCTCTGTGAGGGAGGTGATTTACCATAAGGAAAATGAGGCCCTAAGACACCAAGTAACATGTCAAGGTTACACACCAATGAGTAATGGGGACTGCTATCCTAAACAGGCTAAGTGACCGCCTCCTGACACACTGTAAGTTATTCAGTGAATGTTAGCTACTGAGTCGTGGTATGTTGTGTGTAGCTACCATCAAAACATGTGGCCCATATATTTGAAAGACAGGGCACATTAACAGCAACTTCTGCTAGATTTCAGCAAATCACTGTTAACAGAATTACACCACCAGCTCTCCTAAACTTAACGTAAATTTCATATCTGACAAAAATATATTCAAATACACAGAGTATCTACCATGTGCCAGGTAGAATGACAGACATTAGGGAGACAGAAAGGAACAGCTCAAGCTCTCGGACAGCTGACAGTTTCTAAAATCTGCATAGGGTTTTGCATGGCCTGTTCAAGTGTGAGCGTGTGTCTTTATCCTGGTAAGTGAGGGAAAATAACGGCATTTTAATGCTATCAATATAACGTGCTGGCATTTAATGTCCTCAGTATTGTCATACCTAGATAGAGCATTTCCTTTAAACATACCTTAAGGTGATGAGCTGTTGTATATAATTTCCCACATCCATCATATTCACAGCGAAATGCCTTCTCTCCACTCTGCTGGGATTTAGCAGTTACTCTTGTCGCATGTCCTTGTAAGACAATCTAGATGAAACCAAAAAGTACGGTTTATTCATACAGAAATAAGGTAGATGAAATTACTGTTTGCAGAATAAAAAAGATAAAAAACTGTAATGTGGGTTTCCAGATTCAGATTATTATTTTACAAAGATTCTGTCATGTTGAACCAGTTAGGTTATTTCTGTTCCAGAGCTGAAGTCAGCAGCTGGGGAAGAAGTCAAAAGATGAGCTCCACGAGGGGACAGAGCTAGAGCTCACAGATCTATTCCCATTCTAGAGAATTCTATCCAGGAAGCATCACCATTGTATGCAAGTATTCCATGATAGGCTCAAGGAATATATATATATATATATATATATATATATAGGACATCTGTTCTAAAAACAACGTAAAGAGCATTTTCAACTTCAAAAGCCTTTCAAAGCACTGAAAAAAGAGGGGTTTATGTTGCTGTTACTGTCACCTGCAGGAGACAGTACAGTGCATCTGATCCTAGGTCTGTACTTATATTCAGGAGATTTTTCTGGGACTCAACATCACAAGACTTCAAACAATTTTCCTGATTTCAGAAGTTTTTAAAGATGACCACCTATTTTAGAAATTAAGATACCATAAAAATGGAAGAACAACTTTCTACTCTGTGGGCCCTGGGCTGACAGAGCTGTAGGTTAGGGCACCTTGTTTCACAGTGAAATTTAAAGGCTGAAAATGAGGAGTGAGGCAAGCAGTCCAGACAGAAGAAGAGTATGACCAAAAATATGGAAGTGTGCCTGGAAGAACTGGAAACTTAGTATGAGAGGATTATGTCTATATGGCAGTGAGTAACATGAAAAAGAAAGGGAAGCTGAAGATCACATTTGGGAAGAGCTTTAGAAGCCATTCTTCTTTCTTTCTTCCTTTCTTTTTAAGATTTTATTTATTCATTTTGTCAGAGAGGGAGAGCACAAGCAGGGAGAGCGGCAGGCAGAGGGAGAAGCAGGCTCCCCGCTGATCAAGAAGCCCAATGTGTGACTTGATCACAGGACTGTGGAATCATGGCTTGAGCCAAAGGCAGACACCCAACAGACTGAGCCACCCAGGTTTCCCTAGAAGCCATTCTGAAGAGTAAACCTAGATAATGAATGCAAAGGCAGGTATTAACATTTTTTTTAAGTTTATTTATTTATTTAACCAAGCCCTACACCCAATGTGGGGGCTTGAACTCACAACTCCAAGATCAAGAGTCGCATGCTCTTCTGGGGACCCAACATTTTTAAAGTAAGGGACTGACCAAGATCAGTTCTGTGTTTTATAAAGAGAACTCTGGTAATGGCGTGCAACAGTGAAAGACAAAAGACGCAAGGAAACTAAAGTCTGTGTAATCATGAATATGCAGGGAAGAAGTGGTGAAAACCAGCCTAGGACAATGACCACGGAATAGAAAGCAATAGATGATTCTGCAGATATTTTAAGGATGAAGGTGGACAGAGTCCAAATTTCAAAAGCTAAATGAAGAGGCAGGGCTGTATTGGTTATTTCAGTATAGGACAGACATAGTCTTTGTCGAAAGAAAAGCCTGATGTATTATCGTAAGGGAAATGTCTCAAGGGCAATAGAGAAGCTAATACCAGTGAAATGCTAATCAGCTTCTAAAACCATCTACAGAAAATGACTTCATTACTATCTTGCTTAATGTATGTTCTGGGAATTAAGAGAGAACCTCAGCTCTGCCATAAATTCACTGTGTGACCTTCTGCAAGTCAGTAGGGCTTGCTTGTCTGTATAAAGAACACATTGTCTTAAATCAGTGATTTTTTTTTCTTTTTTAAACTTTTTTTAAGGAGTTAAATTCCTTTGCTAGATGAGATCTTACACAGCATTCTACTGTGCAAAACAGATGAAAGCATTCCTGCCTCTGCTGGCCCAGGCAGGTATGGGTGGCTCAAAGCTCTGCTAGTCCCGGAGGGACGGCAAAGAAACCCTAGGACCAGCCCCCACCGAAAAATCAGAGTTTGAAAACCACCACAGGTAGGAGAAGATAATGCTAATTCCTTTCTAGCTTTAACATTCCAGGGTTCTGAGGAGGTGCAAATCCCACTGGTTAAATAAAGGGCGGAGCCTAAGACTGAATTCCAAAGTGACTTCAATACTAAAGAGGTTCACTGCCCTTCCCTGAGGGGGTGCACTTATGTGCTGCGCAGTGGGGGGTGCTTTGCCTGTGTGCTGCCTTGCTGGTCCTCCAATGAATTAACTATTTCCTATGATTTACAAATAAGAAAAATGAGGCTCAGGGTAGTTAAGTAATGTCACTTGCCCAAGGTCAAAGGCTGGGAAGTAGGACTTGAAGCAGATGAGCTCCAGAGTTCACGCTAGCGAGCCACCGGGCTTCAGGCTGCAGCAGCTCAGCGGTAACTGAGTGGCAGAGCTTCTGTGGCGGCAGTGACTGAGCTGACAGGGCTGTGGAAAACTGGTGCTTTTACTGCCTAGCTCAGTACTTGAAATTCCGTTTACTGTAAAGGTCTGATATACACAGAAGATAGGACTTTTGTTATCTGACTTATGTAAACCTGTATATGTTAGGATGTCAATAATTTATACGCTTGGGAAAGGAGAAAATTCAAGCAACCTGAAGAATTTTCAGAAGTATGCTCTCTTTCAAGAGAGGAATTAATCGAAGAAGTATGGCAACAGAGGGACCTTTAGGGAACATGGGACACATCAGAATTGCCAGGAAGATTTAAAAAAACAAAGGGGTGCCTGGCTGACTCAGTCGGTAGAGCATGTGACTCTTGATCTCAGGGTCATGAGTTTGAGTCCCACACTGGGTGTAGAGCCTACTTAAAGAAACAAACAAAAATCCTCCACAGCCATTCTAACAATGGTTATTATTGGGTAGCGGTCCTTCACTTTTTATTTTTATCTCTCTGTACCACTTGGATTTTTTTTTTTTTTTTTTTTTTTTTTTTGACTTAGAGAGATACAGTGAGAGAGGGAACACAAGCAGGGGAAGTCGGAGAGGGAGAAGCAGGCTCCCCGCAGAGCAGGGAGCCCAACGAGGGCTTGATCCCTGGACCTTGGGATCATGACCTGAGCGGAAGGCAGACGCCCAACTGACTAAGCCACCTAGGCGCTCCCCATTTGGATTTTTTTAAAGGGTACAATGAGATAAGGTTTTTTTTTAATCTAACTTTTTTTACTTGAGTATAGTTGACACACAACGTTGTATTAGCTATGGGTATAGAGCATAGTGGTTCAATGTCTCTATGTGACATGCCACCCTTACAACAATGTAGCTACCGCCTGTCATCATGCAACACTGACTAGTTTCCCTGTGCTGCGCTTTTTATTCCCTCAATGTACTCGTTCCATAATTGGAAGCCTGTATCTCCCTCTCCCCTTCACCCATTTTGCCCATCCCCCCACACCCCTTCTCTTCTGGCACCTATCGTTTTGTTCTCTGCATTTAGAGGTCTGATTCTGTTTTGTTAATTTATTTGTCTGGTTTTTTAGATTCCACACATAAATGAAACCATACGGTATTTGTCTTTCTCCTACTTATTTCATTTGGCATACCCTCTAGGTCCATCCAAGCTGTCACCAATGCAAGATCTCATTTTTTTCATTTTATGCTGCAAAATATTCCATTTTATATATACCATAATTTCTTTTATTCATCAGTCAATAGACACTTGGGCTGCTTCCATATCTTCACTATTGTATGTAATGCTGTAATAAAGATAGGAGTGCATATATCTTTTTGAATTAGTATTTTCAGGTCCTCTGCCCACTTTAATCCAATTATTTGTTTTTTTGGTGTTGAATTAAGTTTTTTTAATATATAACATGGATATTAACCCCTTATTGAATATATCATTTGCAAATATCTTCTCCCATTCAGTAGGCTGTTTTGTTTTATTGATGGTTTCCTTTACTGTGCAAAAGCTTTTTATATTAACAGTCCCAATAGTTAATTTTTGCTTTTGCTTCCCTTGCCGTAGGAGATCTGGCTGCAAAAAATGTTGCCATAGCCAATGTCAAGAGAAATTACTGCCTTTGTTCTTCTTTAAGAGTTTTATGGATTCAGGTCTCACATTTAGGTCTTTTTTTTTTTTTTAAGATTTTATTTATTTATTTGACAGAGAGAGAGAAAGAGATCACAAGTAGGCAGAGAGGCAGGCAGAGACAGAGAAGGAAGCAGGCTCCCTGCTGAGCAGAGAACTTGATACAGGGCTGGATCCCAGGACCCTGAGATCATGACCTAAGCCAAAGGCAGAGACTTAACCCACCGAGCCATCCAGGCGCCCCTCACATTTCGGGCTTTAATCCATTTTGAGTTTATTTTTGTATATGGTATAAGAAAGTGGTCCAGCCATAGCAGTCAGACAAGCAAAGAAATAAAAGTCATCTATATTAGGAAGAAAGAAGTTAAACTGTTACTACTTGCAGATGACATACTATATATAGAAAACCCTGAAGATTCCACCAAAAAAAAAACTATTAGAATGAATTAATTCAGTAAAGTAGCAGGATATAAAATTAAAACACAGAAATTAGTTATATTTCTATACTCTAATAATAAAACAGCAAAAAGAGAAGTTAAGAAAACCGGTACATTCCCATTGTACCAAGAATAACGTACCTAGGAATAAACTTAACCAAGGAGATGAAGACCTGTACTCTGAAAATTATAAAACACTGATGAGAGAAATGGAAGATAAGACAACAAATGGATTTTCTAATAGTAAACATGCTGATCTTAAAAAAAAAAAAAAAAAAGTATGCAGTAGCTATCTACATAGTAAGATAATTGGTCATTTTGGTTTTTTCCAATGTACTTCTTTGAAATAATTAAAAAGAAAAACTACTAAATGTATTTTTTGAAAAAATCCTGGGTTCTATCTCAGACCTACTGATCAAATCTCTGGAAAATGATCTTAGTCCTGGTTTTTTGTTTTTGGGTTTTTTTTTAAGATTTATTTATTTATTTTAACAAAAGAGGGAAAGTGTGAGTGGGTCGTTGGGGCAGAGGGAGGGGAAGCAGACTCCCCACTGAGTGTGGAGCCCAACTCGGGGCTCAATCCCATGACCCTCAGATCATGACCCGAGCCAAAACCAAGAGATGGAGGCTTAACCGACAGAGCCACGTGCCCCAGTCAGGGGTTATTTTTAAAAGTTCTGTAACTCAATCTCATGTTTGCCCCTGATTAATAACCACTGATCAAATACCTTCCTTTTAGAGATGAAAAGAGGCTTAGAAAAGCAAGGTTTGTTTACTCGAGATCACATAGCTAGATAAAGTACAGAAAATACGCATGGAATAGGATCTACACTAAAACTGCCTATATATACAGGCAGGTTTGGGGGTAATCACCCAACCCATGTTCTGGGAGATCTGCCACACCAGCCACAGAGCCTGATAACCAGAACAGATGGTGTATATAAGGCTGACCAGTAACCTATGCCTTACACGGCTCAACTTAAAAATCAAGCTAAGTCCATGAACTTTCCTTCCCTGGAATATGACCTAAGAAATAAAGGAAAATCTTGAGTTAGTTGTGGGTGTAAACCTGAGAAAGCATGGCTGTGATGAGCCATATGCAAATACAATGAAAACAGGACACTTATCTGCAAAGAAAGCAGAGATGCCATGGAAGAGGGGAGGAGGAAGAAAAAGGAGTGAGATCAACCTCTAGTCCTGACTTCTTTGCAATTCTGGTTCCTGTGAAGCCTGGCTATCCATCAGTTCATGCTCTTGGCTTCTTAGAAGCTCTGCTGTATCCTTACAATATCTCTTTTTTCCTAAGCTGGCTTCACTGGTTTTCTGTACTTTCTATTAGATTAAAAGTAATATCTGATTAAATCAGATCTGATCTGATTAAATATCTATCTGATTAAAAGTACGAAGCCAAAGCACTTTGATCTCCAATATTTACAATTAGTTTCAAATGAAGTTAAAATAAACTAATGGCTACCATGAAAAAAAGCCTTAGTATTCTAGTATTCTTAGTATTCATATTGTAAAGCATGAACAATGTCATATAATACTTATATAGTTAAAAATAATGTTCTCATGTGTTACCTAAAGTGTCAACCAAATGAAAATCTCATTTGGTTTTCATAACCTCATGAGATGGGTAAGGCAAGTTATTCTCATTTGCCGGATGAGAAAACTCAGATCCAGAGAAGTCAAGTGATTTGCTCAGTCATACAGCTACTACATGGCAGAGTAGAAACTACATGGACTTTTTATTACACAGGTGTGCTACTTTAATACCATGCTGTTTTCTACTTAACTAAGGGTGGTACAGCATGAGGGCAATGACAGCAGTCAGAGTCTCCCCCAAATACCTACCCCATTAGCCTTACAGTTCCCACAAATGAACACTTGGGTATTCTTAAATCGAGTACTTTAGATCACGGTTTTCAAAAATTCGGCACTACTGGTATTTTGAACAGGATAATTCTTTGTTGTGGGGGCTGTCCCATGCCTTGCAGGACATCTACCTACTACATGCCAGTAATATTCCCCCAATTTTGACAACCAAAATTGTCTCCAGACATTGCTAACTGTCTTCTGGGGGTGGGGGGGTGGGGAGGAATTCTGCCCACCTCCATGAGCACAGCTGCTTTAGATCCTCTAGGTATTTCTTGTCTTATGAAATCTGGTTTCATGCAAGAGCAACTCAGCAGCACAATTAGTATGTTTATGTCATAGATGAAAAGAAAGAGTTCTAAACTGTAAGCATCAGAATGAAAAAAAAATCTACAGCTTTGAAACAAGACTACTTAGAAAAAATCTACTGTATTAGCTACAGATCTCTTTATTTAAAGTTTAGCCAGGCATGGAGTTAAAAGTTCTTAAGCATTCTGGCAGAAGTAGGAGTACCAAGAGGAGGTGTTGCTTATTTGCAGTGGTTCTTTTGCGATATTTGACCTTTTAATACTATGTACTGGACTCTCAACGTCAACTATGGTACTAAACTGTAAGAAAGGATGGAGAATTCATGAACTTCTGGTCCAGCATTAATGAAGAGAAATAGGAGTCACAGGTGCAAGCCATGTATATAGTTAAAAATGTTCTAGGGGCACCGGCACAGCTAAGTCGGTTAAGCTCTGACTTTCAATCTCAGCTCAGGTCTTGATCTCAGGGTTGTGAGTTCAAGCCCGGTGTTGGGCTCCACACTGGGCCTAGAGTCTAATTCTAAAAAATATGTTCTACTAATGATGAATTATATGTTGACTAACTGAAAAAAAAAAATATATATATATATATTCTAGTAACCACATTTAAAATGTAAAAAGAAACAGTAACCAAGCGCCCCTGTAATAGACAGAGAAACTTTTATGGTAACAGTATAATGTTATACAGTCCAGTGGTAAATTCACTCCATTTTTGAAGACCCATTCTATGTTAGTTTATTACAAGTGTAGCTACAACTGTCTCTCTTTAAAAATATTCCATTATTTTAAAACTTAATTGTTAGTCACTAATAAGGGACAAACTCCAAGGCACTGACCTACCTCTCTTGAATATATTCATACCCCATTTGCATTTTAGTAGAACTTGACTCGGTGGATTTGACATACTGCAGTACAAAAAATATTTCTCATTTTATGACTTCAAAGACTTGAAAATTTCACCAAGAATCACACAGTATCAAAGCTGATGGGCTTGGTGAGTTGCCAACTACTGCCCCTTCATGATACCACTTGAGAAAAGAAACAGAAATGCTGGCTCTTTACCAATGTTCAGAAGTATCACATTTCTGGGGGTGCTTGGGTGGCTCAGTTGGTTAAGTGTCTGCCTTTGGCTCGGGTCATGATCCTGGGGTCCTGGGATCGAGCCCACATCGGTCTCCCTGCTCTCCGGGAAGCCTGTTTCTCCCTCTCCCACTCACCCAGCTTGTGTTCCCTCTCTCGCCCTGTCTCTCTCTGACAAATAAATAAATAAAATAAAATAAAAGAAGTATCACATTTCTACCAGTGGTTTCAGTGATTCCTGTCATTTAATCATTTACTATTATTATAAATGTAAAATCTTCTCCGTAACTTCTAATAGTATCACTCCGTGGTAAGTGGTGATACTAACGTTCAAGTTAAAATTGTGGCCCAGAAGGAATCACTTTAGAACAGGAGTTAAGTATGACAAAACTGTCAAAGAATGTGAACAACTGCCACGAGGGAACAATCGGCAAACTGTTAGAGGTAGCTGCTGAGAAAATAAGGTGCAGCATTAAAGCAAGAATATTCTACAATGATTATATAACTCCCAAACACCTACCAAACTCCCCACACAAACAGGTAATTCAAAGCAGAATCCTGAATTATGCCAGTTTGGGATTTTTGACTTGTATATCTCCCAGAAAGCATCTGCGACTACTTCGCACTTAGTATAAAACTTTTAGAGACATTGCTGCTGTGGGCTGTTGTTTGGGTAATGGATGCCCAATGACTGGACCCAGGGTGAGCATCTGAATTAAGGATAGCCAACCCGTGGCCATGTGCAGCCCGGGAAGCAGTCTGGTACAAAAAGCAGAAAGGCTTTGCCCAGTAGGAACAAGGATGATTAGCAAGGCTGGACCTTCTCTATGGAGGTTGAAAAGGAAAGTATATGGGGAACCAGGTGGAAGCAAAAGAAACAAAAAGACACAACGAGCAAAGCAGGGAGGGTGAGTTAGTCACAGTAATGGTGGTGCCTCAGAGGAAGGATCCATAACCTGCCATGCCTGCCTCCAAAACTGCCTCAGATTCCAGAACATGAACTTCATTGGGATTTCTGGGGTACTTCTATTTCTTTAGTGTCACTGTGGATCCATAATAAATCCTGAGACCGGAGGTAGTTCGAGAAAGCTACTGCCCAATATGTACACTCTTTCCCTGTGAAATCTTCCTATAGAGGTAGTGAGTTCTCTACTTTCGCTTTCACTCACAGAAGGGCCTTCAAATGCTAAGGGAAAGAAATTCTTCTGTAAAAAAGTAGCTCTACATACCTGCATTTTTTTCTCTTGTTCGTTTTCTCCAATCATCCCAGTACCTGTTACACTTTCACTGCCATCAATGGACACCTAGAAAAATAAAATAAAGCTTTGAAAAGTTTCAACTTTTGACATTTCTTTGGGTGATAAGTACACAGGGATTCATTATCATTTATTTTTGTGTGTGTTTGAAATTTTCTACTATAAAGAGTGGGGAAAAGAAACCTTTCTAAATTGTATGAAAGATATATGTTCTGTGCAAGGAAAAAAACCCAGTACTTTTGATGTAAAACTTAAAACTGAGACTTTCCTTCACTTTTTCCAATCTCTAATTTCTGCTTCTTAATTCATAAGCTGTTCCATCTATACTTTATTATTTATTTTACGGCACTCATCCTTGAATATATCTTTCTGTAACTTATCAGTCCCCATTTCTTTTCTATAAGCTCTTATTCCATTCCTGTTATCTGTACTTAACTATTTTTTCCTATACTTCACTTCTTTTAAGATAAATGCTGATCTCCTTAAGGCTGTCTGATTTTGACTTTGAATTGCTAGTTTCTTCTTCGATAAATTGACTTTTTTTTGTTTTATTTTAATGAAAAGTAAAGAAGCTATATCTGGAATGTTCTTGACATTGTAAAATGCTGTACCTTTGCTGCATACTGTTCCAGAGCACTGATGGTGTCGGGGTCAATCGTGGCATCTCCAGTGTGCAGACCTGCCACCGTCCCATCAGCCTGAATTGCCAAGATGGTGTCAGACTGCGGGACCTGCACGGCATGGTGGATGTACGCAGTGGTGCCATCTTCCAGCTGCACTGCCTGTAAGGCGCTCTGGTCATAACTGTCTGGGGGAGAGGAAGAGAAGGGCATGAAATTATAGGTAGTCTGACAGAGTTACAGATTTAAAGGAAGAAGGGAAGGAACTTTGGCTGAGTAGGTCCATGTGCCTCACATGTGTGCTCTCCTTCAAATCCTCACAACAATTCTGTGAGGTGGGTGTATGTACCACCCTCATTCAGGAAAAGGGAAACTGAGTTCTGGGGGAAGTCAAGTCACTTTTCTTAGGAACCAGAAAATGGAAAAAACTAACAATTAACAGTCAAAATCAGTATGTGGAGGAACCAGGATCTAAACTCATTCCAGGATGACTCCAAAGTCCATGGGCTTTTTTTCTCTTCTAAATAAGCATATATAGAGCTTTGTGAAATCATAAATCTAGACAATCACAATGAACCTGTGATTAAGTCCCCCTGCCAAAGAAAAAAATTCAGAGTTTACGTCTTTTTAACTTTAAATTACTTATAAATTTAAGTATTCCAAATTTTAAAAAATTTCCCCATTTGGTTTCACAACTAAAGTCTTTCTAAAACATGTAATGTCATTCTATAATATATTCTATAAGGTAATAATAGCTCACATTTTTCAAGCCTTTACTAGGTGACAAATACTGTGCTTTACATATGTTTGCACATTTTGTCCTCAAAACTACCCTATGATGTGGATACTCACTGTAACACTCATTTTACCTGAAGCACAGTTAAGTAATTTGAACAAGGTCACACAGCTAAAAGACAGCAGGCCCAGATTTGAACCCAGACAGTCTGGCTTCAGAGCTATGCTCATTACTCCTATGCATTCCACCTCAAACCCCTGGGCCTTAATAAGTTAATAAGCGTTAACATTTTTGCCACATTGCTTCAAATAAATTTAAAATTTTTATTTCGTCTTAAAGACCAACATAATAAGCCAAGGATCTTGCTTAAAAATTATATTCGAGGGGTGCCCAGATGGCTCGGTCAGTTGAGCGTCTGCCTTTGGCTCGGATCATGATCTCAGGGTCCTGGGATTAAGCCCCACATTGGGCTCCCTGCTCAGCAGGGAGCCTGCTTCCTCCTTTCCCCCGCAGCTCATACTCTCTCTCTCAAATAAATAAAATCTTAAAAAATATATATTTAAGAGGGAAAAAAATCAATAATTTAAATTTCAAATGTTTAATTTTATATTCAAATAGTAGCCTCTACTCGAAGTCTATCAGAGACCAGGGGTTTGCCCTTTCAACCTGTTACTGGGCAGCTCAAACGATCACAAAGTTTTTCCTTAGACTGTGCCTAAATCTGCCATCTTGTATTTCAGAGAACAAGTACAAATCTTCTTTTACATGACAGCATTTCAGCAAATACAGGCAGGTCTTACTTTTCTCACACTCCTCCCTTATTCCTATTTCCAAAGTTAGTTTACCTTTGGAGGTATGGTGAATAAACGCTGTTGTTCCATCTTCTAGTTGCACTGCTTGACCATCCTCTAAACGCAAACTGTCCCCTGCTCAAGAACAATGATTACATTTAGATCCCACGTTTCCTAACGACCGGGTAACTCAGCGATAAGAGTCAATAAACCATTAAACACATTATAAAAACCTACACGTGCTTTAGGAGTCCTTGAACACTACAGTATTTTCAGTAAAGCTACTCTAAGTAAGTGTTAGTAAAAAAAAAAAAAGCAGAATACTTGTTTTAGGAATATCTACTAGTGAGTAAGGAGAGTTGAAAAAAGAGGGGGATAAAAGAAAATGAGAGACATGCGGGAGTGAGCTCAAGTGATAGAAATATTCACGTAGGACTATTGTCCATTTATCTCCAGAGTGCAGTCCAGTAATTTCTTTTCTATGATTTTTAAGACAAAGTCTCAATGAAGTCCAAATGGTCTTTAGATCCTCTCTTTGCCACCTACTGATCTCCCCTTTCAAAAGGAGGACTAGAGACCTGAACCAAGTTTACACCAAGGTAGCTGGAGGCAGCAAATACCGAAGGATGCGAATCAGGAGCGTAAGTATCAAATACTTACTACTTTTAGGTATGGGTACATGTTGCACGTAGGCAGCAGAACCATCCTCCAGCTGAATGACCTGGCCGTCTATGAGTTTTCCATCTGGAACAAAAGATTTAAACCAATAAATTAGCCCAAGCAAACATTTTAAACTTTATACAATTTCAAAATGGTATCAACTATAAAAACATACACTACTTAAGATCATGTTCATCTTGATTCTTCCCTCAATGTTCTGAGGCAATTCAAAAACACATCCAGTGATCCTACAGAAAGCAGAAAATCCTCCCTCAGCCATTCTTCCTCCCCTCCAATTTTCAATTAATTAAGTTCAAGAGGAAGAGTGGCTCATCACGGCAAGCTATGGGAGCTGAATCTCTTTACCTTTCAGAGTCACTTAGGAACAGTGACCCTGACTGCAGGGAAGCTGAAACTGAGAAGACTGACAGATTCATCAGTGTATCTGAGGCCAGATGTCCTTCTCACTCCTATGTGCTATTCGTCCCTCAACTATGTATACATGCGTTCAGTAGGTTCCCATAAAAACAAGGAGTTGGGAGGACTGAGCTATTTCTTGGCAAAAGTAAACGCCGATTTACAGATAATGTTATATAAGCAAAACCAAACGTTTATACTTCCATGCATATTTTGTAAAGACATTACATGATAACTTGGAAGTAAAAAAGCAAGAGGGGTCTTACTAGAAAGTGGTTGGGGACAACCCCCCATTAATTTTGACACCCCAGAGTATATTCCAAATGTCTCACAGGTTGTCCCCAAATTATCAAAACAAATTTAAGTGAACCTGAAACTACTGAAAATTAACATATGCAATACAGAGGCTTAATGATGGGCCAGGAAGGGGGGCGGGTAGTTGCTAGGCACTCCACTCTGAGATTACGAATTGCAGGTATTAACCAATAGGCTGTGTATGTGGCACGTACCTTTAGAATTATGTTGTATATAAGCGGTGGAACCATCTGCAAGTGTTACCGCTTGCAAGCTTACACCTTCCATATTCTCTAAATTGTCACCATCTATTATAAAAAAAAAGTTATTTTCTTTAGCTAACTGTCATACGTACATGCTGTCTAAATTTTTTAAATGAAAATCAGGCATAAGGCAGATTGCTTAAGACTCAAATGGGATTTCTTCTAGCATTTACAAAAAATATTTCCCTGCCCTCCTGTACCCAGTGTCCACGGCAGGGGAATCCCATGATCCCCTCAAAAGAAACTGCTCACCTGCCACCGTTACTGCCTCTGTCAGGCACAGGGTAACGTGTTGAGCCTCCATTCCTCCTCCAGGAAACTCTGTCATTCCCTGAGAATCTCGATTTATTTGGGCTAACAACATTTTCTACCTTGAGGAAAAATACAGGCACTTGAGAACAAAGAACAATGCAAATAAAACAAAAATGACAAAGAATATTTAGGAACCACAGAAATGTGCTACAGAAATAAACAGTGTTTGGGGCGCCTGGGTGGCTCAGTGGGTTAAAGCCTCTGCCTTCGGCTCAGGTCATGGTCCCGGGGTCCTGGGATCGAGCCCCGCATTGGGCTCTCTGCTCAGCAGGGAGCCTGCTTCCCCCCTCTCTCTCTGCCTGCCTCTCTGCCTACTTGTGATCTCTGTCAGATAAATAAATAAAATCTTAAAAAAAAAAAAAAAAAGAAAGAAATAAACAGTGTTTGAAATAAGCTGAAATTTCACTTAATATGCAGGGTAAGAGTATCCATCCACAGTCCAAAGCACACTTTTCATAATCCATCAGAAAGCTATTGAGCACACTGACAACTCTGGCCTATCGGTTTTGTCCCATGTCTCGTTTTCACAACTTCGGGTTTAACATAAGATTCCCACTTATTCCCACAATCCTGTTGCCTCGATCTGCAGAGAGCTGCCCTGCTTCTGGCCACTTCTCACTTCGCTATCACTGCCCTAATTCAAGCCACTGCCACCTCTTGCCCACATGACTGCCATACTACAGCATCCTAACGGGTCTCCCTGCTGGCCCTGTGACCTCCCCACGGTCTCTTATCAACACAACAGTCACTGTGCCCTTTAGAAAGGAAAAGTTAGATCATGTCCCTCTGCTGCTCAAAACCTTCTGATAACTTACCAGAGTAAAGCCAAAAGTCTTCACCCTGGCCGATGAGCCCGATGGTCTTGCCCCTCACTTCCTACTGCTTTCCGTCTCATTCATTTCATTTCAGCCACACTGGTGTCCCTCCTTTTGCTCAAACACACAGGGTGATGTTGCCTCGCGACCTTTACATTTCATGTTCCTTCTGCCCAAAACATGCTTTACAGTCTCTTCACTGTTATTCCCTCATTTTCTTCAAGTCTTTGTTTACTGTTGTCACCCCAATGAGAGCTTCCTTGTTCACATTTCAAGCTGCACCTCCCAACCATGATATACCTTAGCCCTCCTCCCTCCTTTATATTTCTACATAGCACTTAATATTTGACATATGACATATATTTAGTTGGTTTCTTTTTGTTTGTTTGTTTTAGAGGGAGAAGGGGAGGGGGTGAAGAGAGGCAGAGGGAGAAGAGAGAGAATCTTAAGCAGGCTCCACACCTAGTGCAGAGGCCAATATGGGGCTCAATCTCATGACTCTAAGATCATAACCCGAGCCAAAATCAAGAGTCAATGCTTAACTGACTGAGCCACCCAGGTACCCCTATTTAGTTCCTTTCTTATCTATTTTACCCTCACAAGAACACACTGGGATTTTTATCTGCTTGCTCACCGCTGACTCACACATAACAGACATACAACAGGTGCTAAATAAATGGATGAATGGCTCTTTTACCAGTCACCATCACAACCTCCTTCCTCTCTTTTCCTATTTCCAGGTCCCATTATTATCTCTGTGGGCCTTGAGTTGCTTCAAACAGGAGATGGGATAACTTAGCGGCCTTGTGCCAAGGGATTGGACCAGAGGATCTCCTGAGGACTTTCCAGGTCTAAAGATCTGATTTTAGTGTCAATATTTAAAACAATGTTCAGAAAGTAATAATTTGCAATTATATTTATGATTACTTGAAGATTTTGTTTTAGAAACCCTTTGGATTAAAGCCAGAAACGGTAGTTTAGGCTCACAGAAAAGAAGCTCCACTGTGATGAAAGTCAATCAAGGACTGACTTTTTCACGGAATCCTGAAAGATTCACACCCACAACTGTTCACGGAGCAGTCTGAAACCTCAACACTTCCTTGCTGCCTTTAAGGGCTAACAGAGAAGTCTCAAAGTAATACTAGTATTCTGCAGTGAAGACGCCTGATGAGAATAGGATTGGGAGAGGTTAATTTTCAAAGAAGTTCTCTCACTCTGTAATGCAAATAAATTAAGATAAGAAAATGGAAAGGAAACACCTATAAAGATGTAGTAAGTAAGCACTGTGATTTCTGGAGTATTCTAGGAGATGAATTTTTTAAAAGGCAGATTACAAGATAATTTGGGTCATGATATTAAGAAATGTCCAAGGTTTATCATTTTCATTCAGTTACCTACAATCTCCAAATAACTACAATATATATCAATAGGTAACTAACACATCTGCAATAAATAAAAGTTCTCCTTTGCCTGAAAGCTGGTCAACTGTTAAATTTCTTTAGAAGGCTTCAGCACCTACAGTTTCGACCTAATGGGGGAAAAAAAGCTACATTAACTGAAGGAAGAAGAGACAACTGTTTTCTGGACACAAACTGGTGGCAAATACATGAAGGAGTGATGGGAGAAAGGGCTTAGAGGAGTTCAAATGGCACAACTACCAGAGATAATAAGTGATGGCAGGTATACAGCGCATTTTCTTTTTAAAAAGAAAGGACTAGGATACAAAGGCCTTTGTTAGAAAAAGATCACATGGGGGGGAAATAGGACAGTGAAGAAAAGGCATAAATGGGCCACAGACCCAACACTGCTGTTGCTCACATCCTATCCATCATGTCTTCTTGATCATTTCTGTCACTGACATTTTTGGGATGTGTGGAAATGAACATGTGAGATATATACAATATCTTAGAAAGGGCCACCTTATGAAATGTAGTCAATCTCATGTGCTTTAATAATGAATCGTGAGCCAAAATCAGACACAGAAGAGGCTATCCTGAAGCACCACAGGAAACTCCAAGAAGACACAGTATGTAATAAACAAACTTCCTGCCTTTCTGGAAGGTAATAATGCAGGTCAGCCTAAGAAAAACAAACATACCATTGGGTGCCTGGGTGGTTCAGTTGGTTAAGCATCTGCCCTCCGCTTGGGTCATGATCCCAGGGTCCTGGGTTGGAGCCCCACATCAGGCTCCCTGTCAACAGGCAGTCTGCTTCTCCCTCTTCCTCTGCCCTTCCCCCTGCTTGTGCTCTCTAGTAAATAAAATCTTAAAAAAAAAAAAAAAAGACAAATACTGCATGATTCCACTAATATGAAGTATCTAAAGTAGTCAAACTCTTAGAAAGTAGAATGGTGGTTGCCAGGGACTAGGGGATGGGGAAAAAGGGACTTGTTCCTCCCAAGAGATGCATTTTTGCAAGATGAAAACCTTCTAGAGGTCTGAGGCACAACACTGTGTATAAACACTACTGTATTGTACTTAAAAATGGTTAAAATGTAAATTTTATGTTCTGCTTTTTTACCATAATTTTTTAAAAAAGAACTAGGTGGCTCAGTTAAGTGTCCTGGGATGGAGCTCTGAGTTTAAAAAAAAACAACAACAAAAAACAAAATAAGGGCGCCTGGGTGGCTCAGTGGGTTAAGCCTCTGCCTTCGGCTCGGGTCATGATCCCAGGGTCCTGGGATCGAGCCCCGCGTCGGGCTCTCTACTCCGCGGGGAGCCTGCCTCCCCTTCTCTCTCTGCCTGCTTCTCTGCCTACTTGTGATCTCTGTCAAATAAATAAATAAAATCTTAAAAAAAAAATAAATAAAAATGACTTTACTGATGTATAATCCACATACCACAATATTCACCCATTTAAGGTATACAATTCAATGGCTTTAGTATATTCAAAGTTGTGCAAACACCACAACCTATATTCAGAATATCTTTTTTTTAAGATTTTATTTATTTATTTGACAGAGATCTGAGAGAGAGAGAGAGAGAGAGAGAGAGGAAGAAGCAGGCTCTCCACTGAGCAGAGAGCCCAACGTGGGACTTGATCCCAGGACCCTGAGATCATGACCTGAGCTGAAGGCAGAGGCTTAACCACTGAGCCACCCAGGCACCCCTATTCAGAATATTTTCATCACTTTCAAAAAGAAAACCTCATTCCCACCCTACCCCCTAAAGTTCTAGGCAATCAATCACTAAGCTACTTTCTATCTCTACAGATCTTCTTCTGGATATTTCACATCAATAGAATTCCACAGTATGGGATCTTTTGTGACTGGCTTCTTTCACTTATAATGTCTTCAAGGTTCCTCCACGTTGTAGCATAGATCAGTATTTCATTCTTTTATTGCTGAATAATGGTCCATTATGTGAATGTACATTTTATTTATCCAATCATTTGAATTGTTTGTATCTAGATATTTGAGCCATTTTACACTGTTTGGCCATCATGAATAATGCTACAAACACTGGTGTACAAGTTTTTATGTAGACATAGGTTTCACATCTCTTGGGGATATGTATGTAAGTAATTGCTGGGTCATATGGTAACTCTATGCTTAAATTTTGAGGAACTGTCAAACTTTTCCAAAGCAGTTGCACCATATTACATTCCCACTAGCAATGTATCAGCTTCCAATTTCTCAATTTCTCATCTTAGCGAACAGTTTATCAGTCTTTGATTATACCATTCTTGTGTGTATGAAGTTGTATTTCATTATGGTTTTGATTTACAATTCCCTTATGGCTAATAATGTTGGCCATATTTTCATATGCTTAATGACCTTTGGTATATCTTCTCTGGAGAAATAGCTACTCAGATCCTATGTCTATTTTTGCCTGTTTTTTAAGTTTTTAAATTTTTTTTTTTTTTAATTTTAAGTAGGCTCCAAGCCCAATGTGGAGCTTGAATGCAAGACCGCAAGATGAAGAGTGCATGTTCTACCAATTGAGCCAACCAGGTGCCCCTGCTTTCTCTATTTTTTAAAATGGGTTGTCTTTTTATCGTGGAATTGTAAGAGTTCTTTATATATTTTGGATATTAATCCTTTATCAGATGGAGGATTTGCAAATATTTTCTCCCATTCTGTGGGTTGTCCTCCTATTCAGCCTCAAGGAATACGGTTTCAACAAGGGATAAAATAAAAGATGCTCACCTTGAAGAATCTTCAGATTTTTAGTTTTGATACTTAAACTCTTGGTATACTTCATTTTCCAAACCACCAATTCAGTCTGAGAAATGGACACTATTTTCAAATTCAGTGCATATTATGGAAGATTTATCTTTATTAGCAGTTAGGGTCCTTTTTTCAAACTAAATATTATCTCGAACCCAAATATAAGAAACAGCTAAAAGTAGCAATTTATTATAAATGCATTTTTTAAAAAAGATTTTATTTATTTATTTGACAGAAAGAGACACAGCAAGAGAGGAAACCCAAGCAGGGGAAACGGGAGAGAGAGAAGCAGGCTTCTCGATGAGCAGGGAGCCCTACACAGAGCTCGATCCCAGAACCCTGAGATCATGACCTGAGCCAAAGGCAGACACTTAATGACTGAGCCACCCAGGCACCCCCATAAATGTATTTTTTAAAAAAGACTATTTAATTAGACAGAGAGGGAGAGAGCACGAGCCAGAGGAGAGGCAGAGGAAGAAGCTGACACCCACTGAACCGAGAGCCTGACAGGGGTCTGGATCCAGAAAGCCCGCAATCATGACTGGAGCTAAAGGCAGACTCTTAACAGACTGAGCCACCCAGGCACCCCATAAATGCATTTTTAAGTGCAACCCTTTGACTTTACTCAATCAGTGAGAATTAGACTGCTTAAATTGAAAATTCAAATCAAGGTAATATATGCCAAGAGCAGGTTTATGCACCCAGTATACTGAATAACCAAAAGAAACAAAAAGACAATCATAATTTACACAAGATTAGTTCAGAGGATAACCAGGTTTTTAAAATTCTCATAGTATGCTTCAGTTAAATAGATCAGCATTAAAGAACAGTATAATTTTGGGGGGGGCGCCTGGATGGCTCAGTGGGTTAAAGCCTCTGCCTTTGGCTCATGTCATGATCCCAGGGTCCTGGGATCCAGCCCTGCATCGGGCTCTCTGCTCAACGGGGGCCGCTTCCTCCTCTCTCTCTCTGCCTGCCTCTCTGCCTACTTGTGATCTCTGTTGAATAAATAAATAAAATCGTAAAAAAAAAAAAAAAGTATAATTTTTACTATATATGCATTCTGTAGGTTAAAAAAAAAATCTTCACCATATATGACTTTCATACAGTTAATGTTTCAAGTTGAATCACCAGTTGTAAAAGACTGAAGGCAGGAGTACCTGGGTGGTTAAGTGGTTAGGCATCTGCCTTCAGCTGGGGTCATGATTCCAGGGTCCTGGGATCAGAGTCCCACATCTGACT